TGCGTTTCTACACTGTTTTTAGCTATTCCTAAGCATAAAAACTACAGATTTTAATTAGAAACTTTAATCTTCGGGCGAAGAATCCTAAAGAACCTTTCGGATTCGCGGGGGGGGGGGGATCAAAATGACCAAATTTTCGACTTTTTCAAACATTTTTCTAGCTTTTCTTTGAACGTTTTTCTATTTTAAATCTGGCTAAAAGTTACTAAAAACAGTCTAAAGACACTTAATATTTAATTACTAGGCCAATCGGAATTGTCAGGAAAAAAACTGCTTCCCCTCCCGCCCCGCGAATCCTAAAGAACCAAATAATTTTCCCTGCGGCGCTCCTAAAGAATGTTTTTATGAAAACATTTGAATGACGAAGAATTTAGGGTTGGTTAAAATGGATGGGTCTTATTCCGATCCGCTCTGATTGCCCATCTGCCATCTATTTCCGGGATACATACGCGAAATATGTCGCCAAGGTATCGCTTGAAATCGATGTGCTTTTCTCAAAAAAAGCATAGCTAATTCCACAAATTGCTTTAGGAATTCGGGCTTGAGTTCCGGACGTGGTTCTTTCAATGGCCAAATCCGGAAAAAGGTGCCTTTATTTTTGCAGCCATGACTTGCTTATAGATGCAGCTAGGAGCTGCATCTATAAGACGACGTTATCTGCCACGAAAACGGACCTTAATTCACAATTTCAGAGGTGCTGTTGCTATTCCGAATGCACGAAGGAAATAGGCTTCGCTATGAAAAGCACGAAATGCACGCGACGATCACCGTCATGGCCAGCCCCAACTGGCCATAATTCTTACTTTGCCCGATATCATTAAACAACCGGGTTTTCGACCCTAATAAAATTTTTACAACCGCATGACTGTGATTACATGAAAAAATAGGCTAGCAGAGATTCTTTGAGGAATTGGAGGGGATGGACGGGGCAGGCTAGCAGAGATTCTTTGAGGAATTGGAGGGGATGGAGGGGGCAGGCTAGCAGAGATTCTTTGGGGAATTGGAGGGGATGGACGGGGCAGGCTACCAGAGATTCTTTGAGGAATTGGAGGGGATGGAGGGGGCAGGCTAGCAGAGATTCTTTGGGGAATTGGAGGGGATGGACGGGGCAGGCTAGCAGAGATTCTTTGAGGAATTGGAGGGGATAGAGGGGGCAGGCTAGCAGAGATTCTTTGGGGAATTGGAGGGGATGGACGGGGCAGGCTAGCAGAGATTCTTTGCGGAATTGGAAGGGATGGACGCGGCGGGTAGCAGAGATCCTACTATATATCAGGTTGGAAGATAAGTCATGTCGCCGAGATTTTGGCAGGCTGGCTAAAATCGTAGATAGCTCCATTCTGGACATGTGATATGTCATTTTGTAGCTCTCGGCCTGAACCGTTTCGGGAGGTGGGTCCTAGGCCGCCAACTTCAAGGAGGGCCGAGATACAGGCCAAGAAGTTTTTCATAAAATCACCAAAAAGTGTTTTTGCAAGTTATCTTTGCATAGAGTCAATTGCATGCGATACCTTTAACGCCAATCGACAGCTCTCAAGGAGTAGATATCGATAGATGTTGAGATCATCAAAATGGGACACCAGATGTCCGAGATATGGCCTCTTGAAATTTAGCCCATTCCTTAGAACTTTTCCCGAAATCCCATACATTCCGATACATTTCACAGCTAGGGGCCGAAAATTGCCGCTATATTTTTTTTGACGCGGCCAGCGTATTTTGACCAAATGTATTATAGATATTGTGAATCCCGCAGGGAAAACTATCTTTTTTAAAATCTTCAATTTAAAAGTAGATGTTTCAAAAATTAGCAAATGCTGAAAACGTGTCAACAATCAGTCAGTGCCAAATTTGCAGCCCAACCTGATGCCGGAATCTATTCTATTTAATTATAACGCACGTAATCATCGGGATCGTCGTCTTCCTCCTTGAAACCGCGGTCTCCATTGGAAAGACGGCGCGCAGGCCGCCGTATTTTGCGCGCTTATTCGTAATGGTTAGTATTAGAATCAATCCCAGACAAAACGGCATAATTCTGGACTGTCAGCAGCGGGCGAAATCAACTTGTTGCTATACGATTGATAAACCACGTCAGATCATTTTACCGCTATTGAAAAGTAGAAATCATGTTTTTCAAAATGTATCGAAAATGGCCTAAAAATGTCAAAAGTTTGATAATTTCAGAAGGTTCTGAACTTCTTGCTAATCGTGGATGGTGAATCTAGAATACAGTTAAGAATAGAAAAATGCTTTTATGTTTTTTATTAAGTCAGGGCCAATAAAACCGGTAACAATCGCTTCCGCCCTTGCTAACAGTCTACAGGGTGTCCCAAAAAAAAGTGCCCAAGTTTGTCCCCAATTAACTCGAGAAGGAAACATATTTCACCGTGCGTTACCATGCCAGAATGCTTAAATATGTCAGGAATAGGGAAATAACTCAACTTGATTTTTTCGATTTTTGAGTACGCAACTGTACTATTGACGTTGGTTACGACCGAAAATTGTGCGTTATTGAACGGGTGGTGGGAAAATTCTGATTTTTGGCCCAAAAATCGTTGGCATTTGTAGAAAGCTAATGGCCAAATATTAGAATTTTTGAAGCTCCAGTTCTTTTTTTACAAGCAAAACAAATTTGACTGTTTTGTATCTTTTTACATTTTAATTGGCAACTCGCTTCAAATACGCTGCCCATGGCTGACCTTTTGCAGATGGTGTCTCCGAATGATAATCTTTAGCACAACACCAAATTTTACGTGATCCTATGGTATTTTAATATTGCTTGCTAAAACGTGCCCCAGAGGGATACTGTAGCTTTTGTTTTTCGCGTTTTTCTTTTTATTGTAAGCTGCGATTTCGCTCAAAATTTTACCATCGGTAAACAATGGTAAGGAAAATATAGCAAATTTCTAGCCACACACTTTCGAAAAATATACAAAAAGCTGATTTTTTAATTTAGCCACGGCAATTTCTAAATATTTTAATGAATCGGTCCGAAAACTACTATTATTTGTTTTCCTGAAAGGTCGAAACGTTTCTATGGTGAAAAGAACGAGAAAACGGCGATTTCTGTTTTCTACAGTAACCCGCCTGGAGCGCCTTTTAGCATGCCAAGACAAAATTCCATAAAGTGACGGTTTTTCGATTCTAGACTGTTCTTTGGGTGATTGTAAGAGCACCTACAAAAAAAATACTTGATTCCTGTGGCAAATGACAAAGTTATAAGGGAAAGAGGAAAACCCCCCTCGCACCCCGATTTTGGACCCGACGCCCTGGCTCGAAAATCGAATTTTTGAAAATGAAAAAGGCATCGGGGTTTGGTGGATACAATTAAAGCACGCATCGAACTGTGTATGAGTGCAGAATTCTGGAATGATCTGGCTGAAGTTAATGGCTAATTTTGATTTAAAACCCGAAAATAACGTTTTTGAAAAGCCGACTTTGGGGTGCTCTTCTAAATTCGTTTGCCATGAAAAGGATTGGTATTTGCATGGGTTCTAGTTGACTACCCAAGCTTCGTCTATCCCAGAAAAGTCGGGGCTACTCAAGCCTCGAGAATTTTTTTACGTCGCCTCAAAGTCGGGTATATTTTGACTCTTCATGAATTTCTTTTGAGAGATCGGTTGGCCCAATAAATTTGTAAATATAATTTTAGAATGCGCCCATTAAGTAGTATTAAATAAGATTACGACAATAATTCTAACCGCGCAATTGAATTTTATAGACTGACAGGAAGGTCTGCGAAATAGCACGAATCAACCGTTTTGGAGGCGCTAAAAAGCAACCTTCCGAAGGGGTACGGTAGCTAGAAATTGTCTACGTGATAGATGGACCCCAGTCCTACACAACGAAGCAAAAAAAAAAAATTTTTGTGGGATTGTATGGAGCCTATAGACATGCTAAAACAGCTTATTTTGAGGTTTCTACCATAGGTTTTTGTAATATTCGAAATTTACGAAATTTCTCCATATTAAATTTGAGCACGCTATAACTTGCCAACCAGACCTTCGAAAATTCTAAAATTCCGGATGGGCTTAGGGACGATCCTTAGGTACCTACACTGTAAAAATCGGAAGTGTTCGACCACCAGCAATCCTAAAAAATGCAAACGAATTTTTGCCGGAACGCACAGTTGTCGGGTGTCATTTGTATGGGTACGTCGCCAAAAATCGAAAAAATCAAGTTGAGTTATTTCCCTATTCCTGACATATTTAAGCATTCTGGCATGGTAATGCACGGTGAAATATGTTTCCTTCTCGAGTTAATTGGGGACAAACTTGGGCACTTTTTTTTGGGACACCCTGTAGAATCGTCTATTCCCTGCGAGTTTTGACATCTTATTTGGCCTCGAAACGCAGACCTGATCGGTTTGGGGACCGATCAGCCGATCGCAGAGCCCCGTCTCATCCTCGCCGTGCAACTCGTGCCGAATTCAGGCGACGAGCTCGTCGGGCGGAAAGCAGGTCATCAACGGTAAGCCGTCTTACAGAAGATGTCCAGGCTTACGCGGTCTAGAATAGCTATTGCGTTTCTCCTGCAAAAACATTCTTCTTGGCACATCTGGAAAACAAAAAAAAAAACTAAAAATCATTAACTTCATTTGAAACCGCAATTAAAAAAATGTCGCACTGTTTTCACGACATCATTTGCTAGTTAAACTTTCTATAAAAGTAGTCATCCTGTTGAGTTTAGGATTCAAAACGACGTGATCAGCTGTCTAAACCATCCGATCATACTTTAAGGGTAAAAAGCCCTTCTTTCCGCCTAATTACTGACCGGCAACGCATAGCAAAAAGCGTGAAAACCATGTGAAATTTGCCTATCACTTCCGGAAGGCACCGGAAAAAACAAAACTGATATTACTACGCCCCGAACCATATCAAAAACGGTCGCCCACAAAAACCAGCACGAAAACCATAGGATGTCCGATTAGCCCAAAGCAGTCTTTGTTAGAACAAGTATTTATACATCAATAAAGACAAACGCACACAAAAAAATAAATAAAATCAACGATTTCGCCGCCGCGTGCCCTCATCATCCGAGTCGACTTCTTTCTTGACCTCCTTCTCTGGCCGCCGTGCCTCTTTGCGCTTCCGCCTTCTTCGCTCATCCTCCGAATCAGATGAGCTGGAACTGAAAAAGAAAAAGGTTGCTAAAAATTCACAAAATTATTACCTTGATGATTCGGAGTCTGACGCTGAACTGGAGTCTGAGGAGGAGTCTTTTCTTCGCTTCTTGGACTTGTCCTTCTCCTTTTGTGCTTCACGCTCCTTCCGGGCCGCCTTTTCCTTCTTCTCGCGTTTCTTTTGCTTCTTCTAAAAATGATCATGAATAATCGGAACCAAACCATAGAACGCCATATAAACGATTTTTCTACCCTTTTACAGTTTTTATATGTAGAAAGTTCATCAAAAATCATAAAGAATTGCGCCACTTTTGACTTTTTTGTTAAAAATGTATGAAAAATGTACAAAAAAGTCACTTTCGATTGTAAAAATTCGAAAACAAACAAACCTTCTCTTTCTTCAGTTTCTTCCTTAACTTCTTATCGGCCTTCTTCTTCGCCTTCAGCTCGAGCAACGCCTTCTTGTCGTCCGTCTCCACGACGGCGTTGAGGTCGGGAAGCGTCGGATTCATGCTAGAAATAAACTTTGAATAAAAATAAGAACCTTCACTCACTTTTGCATACTGCTCCCGGGCACGTAGTCTTCTTTGATGCCGAATGCGGACCGGAAACGGTCACGCTCGCCCTGAAAAATTATTTTAGTTTGAGTGGTAAGCGCCCACCATCGCGTTCAACTGCTTGACGTGGGAATTCTTCGCATCGAGTTCGTCGTCGACGTTCAGCTCGCCGTTGGCCAGTTGCGAGAGCAGGACTTTTCTGTAGTCGCCCACCTTCTTTTCGATTTCTTCGGGTTCGAAGCCCTAGATTTCAAATTTTTGTTTTCAAAACGGCCAAACCTTGCTCTCCATCAACATCTCGAACTCTGTGCACTTGACCTCGACGGCTCTTTTCCGCGAGTGCTCTATCATGGCTTCGTCTGGCTTCTTTGTGAGCATCGCCTCGTTTCTGGCCAGGTCCGCGTCTGCATTGTAGTCGACCCGTTTCTGAAAAATAAAGATTTGATATCACCAAAAAAAAACACTCACTCGTGAGAGCATGACATGGGAGAGGTTGGCCTGGACGTACCCATTTGTGCCCGTACCGCGGGCGGTCTGCACACCGACCCCGTTGTACATTCTGAAAAAAAATGAGTTTGTATACGAAAAAACTAGAGGAACATCGTGGAGGGAGCAGTAAATCTCATCAATTTTTGATAAACGGCGGCAAACCTTCTATAAGCGATGGAGGAGTAAAATCGATTTATAACTGGGCCAAAAATGAGCCTCTTCAACGCTGCTCTTGAACAATTCAAACCATTCTTGCATTGCAAATCATATAGATTCGAATTAATCGATTCCACGTTGATCTAAGCAGCCAGACTGCAGTGAAATGTCTTTATTCTGAAAACAAGAGGAACAACAAACAGTAAAATTCAACAAGACGGTTCAGTTTTTGGGCTTTTTAGACGGGCCGGGTTCTTGTGGGTTGCCCTCGTTGATTTCGTAGCCGCCTCCAACGTTCCACGACGGATTCCCGTCCAGTTCACGTGGGTAGTTGATGCCGCCTGAAAAGAAAGGAAATAGGTTAATTTCAAAGATACCCTTACCGGCCAGATCATCTACAGCATATCCTCCAAAGGCGCCTTCTCCGCGTCCTTCAGCACCTCCGAATGGCTCACAGTTCATAGCTGAAAAAAACGAAATAGGCTAGTTTCCGGATACACTAACCTTGGCGGGGGCCGAATCTGTAGTCGAACGGTTCAAATCCGGGGACGACGCTGTAGTCGATGCCACAGGGAACTGAAACAAAAGCGATAAAGTGCAAACATAAAGCTTACGGTTTTGCATAGCATGCGAGCCGGCTCCAACAGAGATCGACTCGGAGACTGTCTGTTGGCCGTGTGGGTTCGTCGAATCGGGGGGCATACATGGGCAGGGGTGAAGCAACTGGATCAATTTTTTATCCTGAAAGAAAACTAAAGAACCAAAGTGGATGATTACCCTGAGATACGCCAGATCGGCCGTCGGATCGGATAGCTTCAGGTGGATGGCATGGGGATAGGTCTAAAAAAAAAATTGACCGAGCAACCGAATGTACCGCGGATTCGCGTGCCCACAGACATGGCGTTCCTGCGATGATATCCACGTCGTTGTTGTCGCCGCCCTCCCGATTGTATTGCTGCGCACGAGCAGTAAGCCACCCGGATACACTCTTCGTGAAGAACATTCGGGCTGATGCCTATAAAAAATGGCTAAATAAATAGCAGAGTAATATTTTATGAATTCTAAAACCGAAAGCAAGCGTATCAAATGCGGCTTTCCCCTTTTAGGCCAACAATTCGCGCAACCGGCGAGCCAGTGACTTTTATCCTGCACCTGCTACCGTAACGTAGGTACCTCAGCCTGTTGTAGTTTGTCGTGTCTCTGCGTCTCTCAATCGAACGCCTCTCTCGGAAAGGGCGTCAGCAAGAAAAACCGCTATTCTACTTATTTATTTTTTTAACTTTCGGCCAAAAAGGATCCCGGTGTCTCATGGCGTCCATGAAACATCCGTCAGTAGGTCCGGAGGTTCAGCGATTATAGGTTCGCTGTGGTCCATGTGTATTCCTAATCACCTCATTTAGATATTTAAAAATCTCTTTGAAAATACGGCTAATAGATCTGTCCCGCATCGCTCTTCCACGCCGGGACAAGGTCGCCCAACGGGGGCACGATTTTCCCGCATCAACCTCTCCGGATCTTTGGATTCTCTTATGTTGCTCCATTCGTTTGCTTTTTGTTGTCGTAGCATATTAGAGCCTTTGAAGGGGGTTGTAGCACTGAAGGCAAAGCAGCGACGCGCGCCGTGCGGCAGACGCGCTATCCGTTCATGCGCCGATAAATTGCTTTTCAAGAGCTTGCGATTGATACCACGTTGATAAAATTGGATCTAAAGTTTCTTCCAAACGGCTCGAGGGGATGTTTTATATTTTCCCTCAGATTCTTAAAAATTTGTATGTGCACGCTATTTACTAAGTATTCCTCTTGGAAACCGGCTGCATTTCGAAGCTTTTTCGCTATAATCAATTACCCGCTGGCTCTCCTGCTGCTTGACCATGTCGACCTCACGCTCCTGCGTTCGATCGACAAACACTGAAGTCAGATGCGCCCAGTGCGACCGGAAAATGGCTTTGAACGCCTAAAACGGGAGTTCGATCCAGCAATGCGAACAGATACCTGGAAGCCCATGACGGGCAACACGACACCGTAGGGAGCTGATCGGGCCACCTCGTCCTTGTCATCGCACAGAACGATGTGCCAATCGTAGAGGAAATGTCCACTTTTCATCCTAGAGCAAAATTAGTGTAACAGCAAAAGCTTTTACTTGAACTTGGCGACCAGCATACACGATGGCAGCGTCAAACTGAGGCCGATGCCAAAACGCGAATACCGCGACAGTCTCCTCTCCATCTGGATCGAAGGAGACAGTCCTAAACCAAAGGATTTTCGGAAACCCGCATTTGCTTACCAAACATGCTGAACGTGCCGGTCATTTCGGTGAACCAGTCGAGGCTCGCGTCCGGACTGGTGTAGACGAGGCGCACGTTTGGGTTCAGCGAGGCAAGCTAAAAAGAAAAGCATAAAAATTTTAAACCGGAAAAACGCACTGTGAAGTTGGCGATGGCTTTCGGTTGTTTGTTCTCGGTGTGCACAATCGTTGTGGTGATTTGTGCGCTTTGCACCGGAGTCAGCGCCAGAATGATCGAGCCTTGCCAACGAAGACGAAGCCGCATCGAATCGACTAAAAAAAAGGTGAGGTCACACGTTTGTGGTAGTATAAATTTTGTTGGGGCCGGAATCGATAAAAAAGGTGCATACGTTCAAAAAACCGCTCCAAGAAAAAAAAATCAGTAATAATTTCTCAGGGTTTTCCCGCCAAAGTGGCATACAAGCGGTTCCAACAAAAAAAATAGATTTAGTTCCTTTCTTTTCATCGTTCACTCATATCCAAAATCCGTCATTCCGAACCAGAAACGCGTCTGAAAAGCCCACTCAATTGAAGGGTGGGCATGCACACGCCCTGAAGGTACATGTACTGCAACGATGACTGGACGATGATGGCGGCCCTCTGGAACACGGAACGGGCCAGACGGCACTGAGCGGCGATCGATTCGCCCGAGATTGAGATCATGTTCTAAAAACAGCTTTAGACTGAGAACTATTCTTCATAACCGACCTCCATATTAAACTGCCCGACACCCCTTTTCCAAGTCAGCGCCGCACTACCATCACCTCGTCCATTTCCGGTCTTCACACGCCCTAAAATGCTTATTTTTGCATAAAAATCACTTTCAAGAACCTGTCAGTCCTACGCGATCTTTGCCCGTCAACGAACAGTCGACACCTTGCGTGAGCGCGAGGCCGACAAACTGCGGCATGTAGCGCTCCTCCTTGTTCTTCACGAAAAGCCCCACCAGCGAGGTCTTCAGCATGAACGAACTCTAAAAAAGTGGTTGATAATTTTTTTTTTTAAATCTTACTGATGGATGAGTCCTGGTGAGCATAATTTCATTCTCGCGAAGCCGCTGACGGAATTCGTACTCCTTCTTCATGTTTTCAGGGATAGACGGTCTAAAAAACAATATCAAAAGCTATAATACGGAACACTTATCGTAAAGTTTCTATATTTTACAAAATTTAGGCGGTTTTTTTCGCATTATCGTGAGGGGGTAACTTAAGAACCCATTTTTCTGATATAAATAGAACAAGAGTTTCTCAATTGTTGTTAATCTTTACTATATCAAAACGTAGAAATTTTACAAATTTTGATTAAAAATACAAAAAAATTGATTTTTCGACCCACAAAGGCGATATTCGACCAAAACTTGACCTCAAATTTTTTTCTAAGTGTTATTTGATTGTTTTTCCACTTAAAAATAGCTAACTTTCGCTAAAACGCTTACTACCACGTTACTGGGCCTTTATGGGCGTAGATCAAACCCCCGCCTCCCCGTTAATGAAAAAGAACCAGATTTAGTAGTACGGCATTAATAAATCTAGTTTTCACCTTGAAACCAGCTCCCAGCCTTGAGCATCGATGCCTTGCACGCCAAGAGCGTCAAAGATGGCCCGTTTCTTCGGATCGTTTAGGACTAAAAACAGCGGCATAAAAAAATTTGGCAAAAATTGACCTTCATGAGCCCTGCGAATCTGGACAAAGACGCGCTCAGCCGTCTTCTTGTCATCCTCATCGACGTGGCGATCCGGGTGGAAGACGAGACAACGTCGACGATAGGCCTTCGTGATCTCCTCATCAGTGGCCTGGAAATGAAAGGCTTTCAAAAACTGCTAAAGCCCGTACATCTTTCGGCAAGTTGAGGACGGCGTAGAAGTCGAGGTCCTCGCCCTCCCCAATCAGCAGATCGCCGTCGTCGCCGATGAGAAAAGTTCTTGGCATTGGGGCTAAAAACAAATGTAAATAAAATTTCCAAAACCACAGAGCATGATTCCGGAAAAGAAAAAAATTCTCGAAATTTTGAGGATTTTGTAGATCTAAGGCACTTTTTTTGATCGAAAATGGCGTTGCGGACACAAATGTTGCTTCCAGGTAGTTCGGCTTGCGAGATGTGTACAGCTACACACCAGATCTGCGTGGAATTTTGGCGGCGCGCAGGTCATTTTTGCGTTTTCACCTCAAAAGTGGTCGGCGCTCGCCGTCCAAAAACCACCTCAAAGTTGGCGGAAAAAAATCAAAAAAGGGGGAACACGATGTAACAAAAAATTTTCGGTACTTGAATATTCGCAGGGGCGGGGGCAGGCCCGTAGCGCAACCCCCCGGTCGCCACTTTTTAAAACATCCGAAAATCCCGTCAATAATAGCGCCGCAGGCAAAAAAAAAATCGCAAAAATTTTGAAAAAATAAGCTTCATATACGTAAAAACTGTTTGAAAAACAGTAATAAACAGCGCCGCAGGCAAAAAAATTTTTGTAACTAAAAATCATAAGGGTCCCCCCTTATGAATTTTTCGGACCGCGACCGATTTCGGGGAAGGGGGGGGGGGCCCAGGGCCCCCTGCCCCCCTCCTACGGGCCTGGGCGGGGGTAACAAACATACAATTTTTGGGCCCAAAATGACCAAGATTTCCACTTTTCGAACACTTTCCAAACTTTTTTTTTTCAAAGTTTTTCTACTTTAAATTCAGTTAAACCTTATTAAAAATAGGATAGAAATATTTTGTTACTAGGCCAGGCCAACTATAAGAAGAAAAAATTCAGATTCCTCAAAAATAAAATAAAATGTTATTGCACCTATTTTGATTTTTTTGCCAGTAATTTCCACGATTCTTTTCTTTTCACTTTTCAGCCAGTTTTAGTTTGGTGGTTCTCAGGGGCCCGCTGTCAATCTGAAGCCGCGCCCTATTCGTTGCCCAAAAGACCGTAATCCGGTTCATTTCCGCAGCCCCCGTTTCGAAAGTTCTCTCCGCTCACATTTCGGCGCCCGTTTTCACAAGGTTCCTGGGGTTATTGTTCTGCTTTTCGATGAATCTCGCCGCGTGTTTTGCATTTTGTTTCCGCGCTTACGAGAAATTTTTCGCCTACACTTTCCGATTCGCATGGCACCATTTCTTGAGTTTTTTTTTGTGATGACATGCGCAAAAGCATAGTCGGTTTGCTGGGAATTTATCGAATTCAGAAGCTAAAACGGTTATATTTCTAGTCTTTAGGTTATTCTTTTAGTTGTAAGGTGCTGGTACCAATGAAAGGTGTGCCGGCTGGCTCTATTATTTCGCACTCTCTTTCCGTTTCTTGATTTTCCTTCCATCTTTCACGATTGTATCGAGTTTTTCAGATACGAGAATGAATAACTCGTCATTGAACGCCTCGCATCATGTGCTTGCCGGTGCGAATGAGCAAACGTTTCATGTAAGTTGTTTGATCGGCATGGTTTCTGCGTGCACGCTTCTCAGCAAGGTTTCTTTTTTAGGCGATGAGCCGCGTACTAACGAACCTCGTCGACACGCAGAACTGCATGGTCTCCAACTTTCAACAAATCTCGGCTCAAATCGAATCGCTGCGCGTGGAGGTGCGCACTTCAATCTCCGACTTGCGCTCGGACATTCAGCGCAGCGAGGACAAATACGTTGATGGCTTGAGCAAGTCGCATGAGAAAGAGGTAAATTTTTAGCGGAATTTTTGAAAAATATACAGATCCGCGTCGGCTTGTTCTTATCTACTTTTTCCAGGTGGATCGCTTGATGCGCCTGGTGGAGAACATGAACATTACCGGCCAGCATGATCAAGCTCCGCAGCGCCAGAATATGAACGACTCGCTGCAGATCATGATGCTGCAACAAGCACTGCAACAGCAGCAGCAACACATGGCTGCGTACCGCGTACCGCCATCAATGGTCGCACCTCAGCCGCAGCACCCGGTGATCGCCGCAATGCTCCAGCAACAACACCAAACCATCTCGCCAATGGCCCAGATGATGCCGATGACTCCTCAACCGGCCGTCAATCCTCTTTTCCAACAACCAACCATGGTCGCCCCGTCGCCGAGCATCAACCGAGCTGGCCAGGTATTCCACAAGTTATTACGGGTTTACTTGCTTTTTTCAGTCACCGTCGACGGCTTCGAGCTCGTCGCCCGTGGTCACCGCGGCCGCTCCTGTGCTCCCGAAGCCGGCGCTTAGCTTTGGTAACCTATTTTGAAACGATTGTCAAAATTTTTCTAGCCACTCCTCCGGCCACCTTCAAGCCAGCCACCCCGAAGCCCGCCGAAGCCGTTGTCACCACCACGCCCAACGCTGTCAAACCGGCCACCCTGACGTTTGGAAACATCTTTGGAGGTAATTTGGATGGTTTTTATTGTACTGGTGTTTTCAGCTGCCCCCAAGCCTCCAATGCCGACTACTCCGCAAGCCGTCGTGTCTTCGCCCAAGAAGGAGCCCGAGCAGGCTGTCCGTGAAGATGAGGAAGGCGACCCCGAAGAGTACGTTCCGGAAGCCGACTTTGCGCCGGCGATTCCGCTGCCAGACCTTGTCGATGTCGTCACCGGAGAAGAGGATGAAACGGTATGCTTTTACGCAATCGCGATTTGCCGCGCGCGATCTATCAAAACGCTGTTTATTGTGTTTTTTCAGCCTCTGTTCACTACCCGCTGCAAGGTCTACCGTTTCACCGACAACGAGTGGAAGGAACGCGGGATCGGCGAGCTGAAGGTGCTGGAGAACAAGGACACGAAGAAACGCCGTATTGTGATGCGTCGCGAGCAAGTGCACAAGGTGTGCGTGAACCACGGCTTTGATGCGTCGATGAAGATCGAGCCGATGAGGAACCAGCCGAAAGCTCTTTGCTGGGTGTGCATGGATGCGTCGGATGGGTAATTTAGCGATGCATTATGTATATATATTTTAGTGAGTCTACTGTGACGAAACTGTCTGCTCGCTTCGCTTCACCCGAGCTGGCCGCTGAGTTCCGCACCGTCTTTGAAGCAGCCGTGGAGAACGCCAAAAACTATGGTATATAGCGTTTCGATTCTAATTTTTTTGTTTTAGCGTCGCCCCAAAAGCCCGTTGACATCAAGGACGAGCCCAAGAGCGAGCCGGCTGAAGAGGTAGTCATCCCGCGGAACGAGCCTGCCGCTCAGCCTGCTGGTTTCGATTGGAAGGCGCCGACTGGCAGTTGGGATTGCGCCGGATGCTACTCCAACAATCCTGCATCGGCCGCCAAGTGCAACTGCTGCGGTACCGGCAAAGACGGCAGTGCCCCAGAGCCCGAGCTACCCAAGTATCTATCCTTTACCAAAACGTTATTACCGTTTAGGACCACCTTCAACCAACCGGCCACCGGCGTCTCGTTCGGCTTCAAGAACGCCGCTCCGACTTTTGGATTTTCAAGCAGCGCCGCCGCGGCCGAGCAACCCAAGCCCATCACTCCCATTTTCGGAGCAGCGAAGCCGCTGGAGCAGCCAACGTGAGCTTTTCCCTTGCCCTCTTATTTTTCGTTTAGGACTCCCAACTTCACTTTCGCTTCAAAGCCGGCTGCTGAACCCGTAGCCGCTCCCGCCCAGCCAGCCAAACTCTCATTTTCTGATGCTGCGAAGGCGGCTGCCAGCGACGCTCCTTCGCCTTCCGTCGGCTTCAGCTTTGGCAAACCTGCCACTCTTGCCGCTACCACTGTTGCACCCGCTCCCGGAACACCCACATTCTCCTTCAAGTCTGCCGCCGCCCCACAGAAGACACTTTTCGGTGGTACGTTTCGCTCTACCGCTTTTTTATTTGTGTGCCTCATTTAACGCCATTTTTAGGCAGTGCTTTCGGATCATCCTCGCCGGGCGGCTCAATCTTTGGTGGTGCCGTGAAAACCCCGACTACGACTGGCCCTTCTGCCGAAACTACCGCCACCTCGCACGTCTTTGGCCAAGGCACTTCCCTCGGAGGCACTTCTGGCTTCTCGTTCAGCTCAGCTGCGCCCAAGGTATTACTTTATTCCATTCGTCCAAATTTCTTAGGGCAACATATTCGAGGGCACGACTTCCGAAAGCGCCAAACAGAAGCTGAACGCTTTGGAGAAGGCCAAGCCGCTCAACACCTCCATGGCTTCGTCCGGACCGGGAAACCAGAACAAGGACGATGACGAAGAGGGCGGCGAGGATGACGAGTACGAAGCCCAGGCCGACTTTCAGCCGATTGTCCCGCTGCCGGACTTGATAGAGGTACATAGCTTTTTGCTTTTTTTTTTAGTCTATAATTCTCAGGTTAAAACCGGTGAAGAGGAGGAGGAGGTCGTGTTCAAGGAGCGCTGCAAGCTGTACCGCTACGACAAGGAGGCGCGTGAGGCAAAGGAGCGAGGCGTTGGCGAGATCAAGGTCTGTTTTAGCGTTTTTTAGTTCCGCCACCATCCGCACGTGTATTTTTCTTATCTTATTCGATTTGAGGGAAATTGAAGTTAATTTTCTGTTCAGATTCTCCGCAACTCCAATGGCCTCTACCGCTGCGTGATGAGGCGCGAGCAGGTCCACAAGCTGTGCGCCAACTTCTTGATCCGTGCCGGGATGACGATCACCGAAAAGGACAAGTCGGAGCAGGTTGCCCTCCTCAACTGTCGGGTAAGAAATTGTTTTTGACGTATTCTAATTTTTTGCTTTTCCAGGACTTCTCGGAGGACGCGGGCGGTCGCGAGGAGACGCTCTTCATCAAGTTCAAGTCGAGCGTCGAGCGCGACGCCTTCATCGCGACGTACCGTGAGGGCATCGCCTCCGACTCGTAGAAGACTGAAAGAATTACTGCTCTCCACCCTTCACCCTTTTGATTAGTCATTGATGTTTTTGTGATGAATAAATTATTCGGTGTTCACCATTTTGGCGTAAGGAATAAACACGTTATAAATTGGCGAGTTGCGAATATTGGAAGATTGGTGGTTTTGACATTGAATTGGCATCGGGAAATGGTACTGATCGCAGGTTACGGTTGCTTTCTTCAATTCATGGCTATCGGATTGCTTTGCGCGACGAAGGCTCCTCTGCACGAGGGCATGCAGCGCGCGATAAGCACAGCCCACTTTGACCGAGGGTATCTTGCAATGGCTGGACGTTAGGCAAAGCCGACGGGGAGATGTACGACGAGCAGCGGGGATCGAGCTTACATTGCGCTAGTTGATTCCGAATCTGCTTTGTTGTCACTGGCTTTTGAACAGAGTTGTTATTCAACCCTGATCGGAACCGAAAGTGTACGAACACTTTTCGTTTTGACCCGGGTCGAATAACAACTCTACTTATGCGGCTACACCCAGATCTAGAGATTCTTTGATTTTTTCTCGCGGCCAATTCCGGGTGCTGTTCAAGTCGGGGAGGGGCAACACATTTTTTTTGGGTAATTGTTGGTCATCCTCTTGTTTTCTGTGTGCTCAGACTTGGATTCACTCAGCATTCGCTTCGGGTTAACCTGGCTTGGCTTGGCTTATACTGGGTCTTACTCATCGTTATATGTAGCTCCACTGTCTTTGGCTTCGGCTCAGCTAAATTTGAGCTTAGCGTAACTGTGCTTGGCTTAGGGGTTGAGTATTACGCCAGATTTGCCTCGAAAAACTGACGAAATAGATACTGGCACCCCCCTACGAGCTTGAATGGTACTGAAGGGCCAGCTATAATAATGGCTGCCTCTTAATTTCTGAAATATCTCTATTTTCTCTCCTTCAGCTGTGCGTATTTCGTCTCAGTTGCTTCGTTCCAGGTATGCTGCTTCGGATAGTGGCCCTTCTACTCGGCCTGCTGACAGTTTCTGCCCGTGGAGATGTAAGTTTCGTTGGCTAAACTCCAGGTGATCCCCCAGCCGAGGCGCACCTAATGTACCTCGGATACCCTTTGTTCTACATGGTCGTAAGGTATACCGAAATACTCGTCTGACTATGACGAGCATTTTGGTATACTTTAAACCACTGAACGATAAGGGGGAATTGGTAGACAAAAGTTGGGAGCCGGCTGGTGGGGTCATCTGGAGCCTTTCCGTTGCTTTTCTCGACTATTTTGAAATTTTTGTTTTCCTCGCCGCAGGATGAACACTCTGCTTTTCAGACGAATTTCGAGGACACGCGTTGCCGATGTATCTGCCCCAGCACCCACTCGTTCGCCACCAACCAGACCAGCGAGGGCGAGAACCAGCGCCGATACTACACAAAGTCGAATATCAGCCCCAGCTCGTGGTAACCGCTTTGTAACCCTGCATTTTCAATCCGTTTTTGGGTTCTTTCGCATTACCGGGGGGATTCCGAATTTTTCCTTTAAGCCCCAGAAATAGCCAGTAGCGTAATAGTGTTTTTAGCCAAATTTTATATATATTTCGAGTAGAAAAACTGTCTAGACAACATCTAAGAAATTTTTAAATTGAATGTTTGGCCGAAAATCTACTTTTTTGGCATTTTTAATGAAAATTTGGGACTTTTTTACGTTCAGGGATAGTAGAGAACCGTTGAGAAACATCCTCTATTTGTATCATTCAAAAGTTGGCTCCCCCTGATAATGCAAAAGGACCCCTTTATATTAGCAAGCCCTCGGCCGTGGTCCGCGCTGAAGTGGCGTCGATCGTCGACGAGAATCGAATGGACGCCTTTCTCGCCAACTGCGACTGCCATTTCGAGAGCCGCAACACGGTCATGATAAAAGTAAGGGATTCGGGCGTTTCATTTTACATATCCATAGGTGGTCGTCATCTTTGTGATCTGCGTGATCGCGGTGCTCGTCGCCTACATGGGCTTTTTGATGTGCCTGGACCCGATGATCAAGAAGCAGCGCTCCGCCGTCCCCTATCGGCAACAGAACGATGAGGTATCGTAATTTTGTTGTTTTGTTGTTACCGGGGGACGAAAGGTAAATTTTTAGAAAGCCGATTCCTCCCACATAACTTTAAACGATAATGTTCTTAGTAATTAGTGATCATGCCATTTTACGCCAATTTTTTGGATGGTCAGCTGAAGTTTTTGACGCCTCTGGCGAAAATAGGCTAAGCTTACCTTATTTTTAAATTTGAAATGGATAAGGACTCTTTACGATTCGTGGAGGACCTACTTTTTTTTTTCCTGGCGGCGCCGGTTGGTTTAGTAATCAAAGATCACTGTTTTTACATTGTTTTAGTACGTTTTTTTATATTTAAAGTAGAAAAACTTTCAAAAAGGTTAGAAAAACGTCTGAAAGAGTTGAAAATTTGGTTATTTTGGGTCGAAAAACATCAATCTTTCGACCTAAAACTAAATTTTTATTTAAAAAATGTCTAATTTTTATGCGTAGGAATAGTTTAAAAAATGTAGAAACTCACTCGCTATTTAAAAAAATTTAGGCGGGGTCGAAAAAAGTTGTCCCCCCCCCCCCGCGAATCCTAAAGAACCCGGATAAGCTTGAAATGAACTCGAGAACACAGAAACACCGTGATTCTGGAGGTAATCTGTCTATTGCGGATTTTTAGATGGAAGACAACATCTTTGCACGGGCGGCCTCGTCGAGTGAGCCCGTTGAGACGCCGCCGACACAGATGCGCTCCCGCAATCCAAGTGCGTTTTTCGGCTTGAACTCGTTTTGGACGGGCTATTTTTGTCCGTGTAAAACGTAACCCTTGTTTTTGCAGATGTCCTCGAGCGCGTGGAGGCTGAGCAAAACCGATGGATGCGGAAGGTTGAGGAGCAGCGCAAGCAGGTCTTCGACGACCACTCCATCCTCAATTGACCGCACACACTGGCCCCCGTCGTGTCTTGTTTTTGTCCTGTACCCTACTGCTGTGATGCATAATACTGTGCCATAATGTACATAGCCACCTTGTCACATGTTTTTACCGTTTTCCCTGAGCCCCGATAAATATTGATTGCCGAGTTTGGCGTGCTTCTGACTTTCGAGGGCTTGACGACGCCCGTGCTACCTGGATTGATACTTACAAGTGGCCGTTTTTTTTAGCTGATAAAAATGGCGTTTTGCGGTGTGACCTGGCGCGTGCGATAGAGCTGGAAATTCTCAATTTATTCCAGTTTTCAAAAAAATTGCTGGGTGATTAGAGTCTTCGCGAAGATTGGTCCGGAAAAGGCGTTTTGGCCGACTTGGGCAGCGCTTAGCAAAATATAAGGTTTGAGATCGAGTCGTTCAGCCGCTATGAAGGGGGATTTGTTCGTGATTTAAAGCTCTATCAAGTTAACCATGTCACAGCGCAAAACTCCAAAAACCACTCCTGCTGTTACCGGGTTCGGGGGCCACTTTGGTTGCCGATCTCCTACAATGAGACGTTTTTTTTAGTGACGATCGAGCTTCCGTACGGGAGCAAGCCTACCTTGTGCAGAATTTTGCTGTCTTTAAGCTTATCGTTTATACGATATTATGATCAATCAATGAATTATGATTATGATGAAAAATTATGAAAATCTGAAAGTGCGAAAAGCCGCAAAATGGCCCGATTTCGGCAATTTTTCGCCCTTGCCATGCTAAAATAAAAAGCTTTATAACTTTTCAATCTGATCGTTTCGCAGCCTTTGAAAAAGGCTCGAAACCAGCGCAAAATTTTGCACAAGAAAGGCTTGGTCCTGTACGGGAACTCGGTTATCACTAAAAAAACATCTCATTGTTAGCAGTTTTTGACGCAGTTTTCCGATTCAGAAAGATTGGAACCGGAAGGCGTTAGCTTTGCGGGGAACTATTAGGAAAAACGACAAATAATCTTGTTCATGGCAGAGTCAGGCAGGTTAGTCTGCGTTCGAAATCTTCGCGGAAAAAAACTGGCCCACAATAAGCTAAAAAAAGTCGCCAACCATAATGTCCCCCTCCGCCTCGAAATCCACACATTCAATGCTTGCTTTTCCTGGTTGAGTGATGCTCATTTGAACGCTTTTAGCCTGGCCCCAGCTATCAAATGTAACGATGGCCACCAATGTGCTCGCCGAAAGTCAAAAATTGTGAGTTTTTGCATTTAGCGTTCGCCCATGGCGCTTGTTAGTAAGGAGACGTGTTTCATTGGTCACGGAGTCTCGAAAGGGGACCAAGCCTATTTTTTGCAGGATTTTACGCTGTTCAAAATTTACCGACCATATTTCGAAAGTGTTGCAACTCCAAAGTGTCGAAAAATGCCGAAACTGGCCACTTTTCGCCGTTTTTCGCTCGCTAAAACGTCATAACTTTCTGTTTTGGTCGTTTCGCAGATTCCGAAAGCAAGGTTTCAATCAGTGGAAAATTCTGCACAGAATAGGCTTGGTCCCATTTCGAAACTCGGTGGACACTGAAACACGTCTCCTTGTGGGTTTTACGATTCTCAAATGAAAACGTACAAATTTTTGGTTCTAAATTTGTAATTTTGGACCGACAAATCATTTTTCAGCCGAGAATGGCAAAGCATTCGATTTTAAAAAAGTATTACAACCTTTGAAGGTTTTGTTGCTTTAAATATTACTAAGTTTTGCTAAAAACGATATCAGGCACTTTTTTTTCAAAACGATAGACTGCACGGGCCGCCCTTTGCTCGGGTGTACGCTTCTTTTCAGCGTCAGCGAGTTGACGGAAGAGACGATCGACACGATGACGACCGATGAGCTGAACACCACCTGCATAGCCCTGCTCACCAATTCGAAGGCCGTCGAGAAGGAGTTGGGGCTGCTGCGCCAGGACGTGTTGCGTTTGCGTGCCGATCGAAATTTTTGGAGGGATAAGGTATTAGCCGGACAATCTTCTTGCGATTGTTGAATTTTTTGGTGTTTCGCTGTTAACGGGGGGGGGGGGACCTGTTTCTTCATTTTGCCCCTGTCCCTACCGCTGATGATCAATAGAGCATTTTTACCAGGTTTTTAGTAGTTTCTGGTTGCCGCAAGTTCATAAACATGTCGGAAAAATCGACATTCTGGCCTTTTTTGGTCATTTTTCGTACATTTTTGACGAAAAAGTAAAACCTTCTAACATCGAACAATTTGTTAGTAGTGTTTTTATATCTAAGAACTGTGTAAAATAGTTAGAAATGATTTTTATTTTTCCATAGGGTCATCCGGCACTATTGGGGAAAAATTGGTCCCCACCCGTTAGAAATATAATCGTAAAAAATCGTCATCATACCAAATTCGTTGAAAGCGGACATTTGTACGGGCCTCTAAAGGAGGAGGGTGAATTTTTTTGGGGGCCCTGTATCTCTCAAAACATTCCTTTTAGGCGAAGGATTTGGAGGACAGCTGGACGGTGTCGACGCACGATCGCGAGCTGTTATGTGAGGAGGCTTTCAAGTACAAGAACGAGCTCAGTGAGTCCACGCATCTTGTACGGTCATCCCCCTGTTTAGGCGACATCAAGCGGGCCATCAAAAACCAAACGCGTCTCTACTCCATCACGCCCGTCGTTTCTACTAGCTATTGGTAGCTTTTTGAAGCGGTGCTTACATTTTTGGGTGCTTTAGAATTCGCGGGGGAACCAATCTTTTCCCCGGCAGTCTTGGCTTAGTAATCAAATATGAACCGTTTTTACATTGTTTTTAGTAATATTTATATTTAAAGTAGAAAACTTTCAAAAAAAGTTAGAAATGTGTTTGAAAAGTCGAAAATTTGACCATTTTGGCTCGAAATAATCAACTTTCGGCCTGAAATCGTTTTTTTAATGAAAATTTGTGTAATTTTTCTGCTTAGGAACAGTTTAAAACAACGTAGAAACGTATTTATAAGCAAAATTAAGGCTTGCGCCGAAAAAAAGCCCAATTTTCAGCGCTTCCGGTCGGCCATCGCCCCATGCGAACAAGCGCCGGAAGATGGACATGGACATCTCGGACGTCAGCTCGGAAGCGTCGTCCGGCGCCAAGGTGGGCAGCTGATCGCCTTCGAAAAGTTTCTTTTTTTTCAGTTGAACGGTCGCCGCCACAGTGGACGACCGCAAATGCCGAAATTCGATGAGCCTCAACGGTAGGAGGAGCGCTTGATATAGATGGCTAATTTTTTTTCAGTTTGGCGAACTCGCCGTTGAGTGCGATGCCGCAACCGTTGCCCCCTCCGCCCCCGCCACCTCCACCGCCACTATTGGCCAGCTCGTCAGACATGGTGCGTTTTGGGCGGGACGGTTCTTTTGGGCCGCCGGAGGCAAATTTTGGCGCTAACGCCTAAATTTGTGTGCTTTTAGCCAGGTGCCTAGAAGTTTGCAAATTTTGACTTTAAATGCTTGTTTTTCGAGGAATTTGGCCGAAACATCGACCGGAAATCTTGATTTTCAACCTATTTCTGGCTTTTTTTGGAAATTTTCTGCTTCAGGCAAATTAGACGGTAAAACACTCCTCCGCGCCGGAATCCTGAAAAACCGGAAGGGCTATACGATCAGAAGCTCACAGCTGTTTTCTCGAATTATCGTTTTTGCAGTGGATGGCAACTCCACCCCCTCCTCCCCCGCTCATCCTCCCGCACGGCCACTCACACAATCACCAGCCGCCGACTCGGATGAATGGACCTCGCACGCCGCCGCCCCCTCCAAACGAACAGGTATTTCTTTTTCGTCCATTGCCGCCGTGACGTAACTGAAAATTGATTTCATTGCGAGAAAACCTAAAATATTTCATAAAACCGAAATATTCTGGGGGAGAAAACAACTTTTTGAGTGCGCGGCGATTACATGCCGTAATGCTTTATAAGGCACCCAATCTTTCGGTCTCGCTGATCCCCTGAGCAATTTTCATAATTAAAAAGGCTACAATGACCAAAATTCGGTGAAAATTTCACAAAGAGCGTCGTCTTTTTTAAATTTAAGCGTTTTAACGTCCAACTGTGGCAAAAGATCATGCGACGCGGTCGCGTTGCCGCGGTATCTGGTTATTTGCCAGGAATCAAAGCATGGACCAGATTTCGAAGCCCCTTTAATATCAACATTTTTTAGGTGTCCTGGCATCACCAGCAACAACCAAATCACCACCAGCAGCGGACCGGCGGCTACCATGGCGCGCCGAACGGTTCGAACGGCCCGGCGGCTCCGTACGCGGCTCCCACCAACTTCACCGCCATGCCCAGCGGCCCGCCACCACCACTGATGATGCCACCGCAACATCAAATGCCGCCGATGCAAATGCAGCCACCGCCACAACACCCCCCGCAACATCAGTTCCAGCCGCGCAATCGGCAGTGGGCCGGCGATTGGGATGTGGGTTTCGGGTTTTTATTTTCGCAAAAGGTTAAAGCCTCGAGCGGCCCGGGAAACTGCCCGAACTATCGATTTTCATATCTCCGTGGGAATCCGTCTTTTTCCTTTGGTATCCATTTTTTCTAGTTTTCCGGTCAACATTTTTCAATTTTCCAACAGTCTTTAAACTTTTCGATTAGTTTTTTCCACTTGACTTTTCGGACTTTCAACGAAAAATTACGAATTTTGAAAGGGTTTTCTATAGTTTTCCATTTGAAATGTAGTCAAATTTTTACGAAAAACTGCATTGAAATGCTTGCTATTACCTTCCTAGGCATGTCGGGACTTATAGCAAAATTCCAACTTATTTAATTTTTTTTGTCAAATTTAGCTGTATTTCGAGTGGCAAACTATTTACGAAACTATTTGCAAAAATTTTCGTCAAATTTAGCTATATTTCGAGTGGAAAAATTATTTAGAAAACTTTGAAACTAGCTCGAAATTTTTAATTTTAGCCGAAAAACGATATTTTTATGATTTGAGTCGAGTTTCGGGAAGTCGATTTTCTGCATTTTAATTCTAGATAAATTGCAAATTCGTTTAAACAATCGGGTTTTGGGTTGCGCTTATGGTCTTATCTCACTCATTGCCCTTTCTTTCAGGGAGGCGGCGGCCCGCAGCAAGGACCCTCGGCCGGCTACAACCAACCACCCAATCAGAACAACCGCAAATCGTTCGGCGGCAATAGTAATCCGGACAGGGTGAGCACTTTACGGGTACTACAGGCTTATAATCGGAAATTTGCACAGAGGTGTAAAAGCGGCTGGAAAATGCCCGCGGAAACTTTCAGGTTTTTAGCTACAGTAGTTTTTGAGCTATTGAAAAAATAAGCTTTATTTTGCGCGTTTTATCAGGCATTCCGCCAAAATTGGACCTCTGGATATATGGTGAAAATGCAACGCCCCGGGCCTTCTTTACCTGAAGTTTTGATGGAAAGCTGGCTGCATGCCAAAAAAATATACCATTCGATGCAGAAAATTTTTGCACAAATTTTAATGTTAGTTTCAGCTGACAGCAAACTTTTCATCATGAGGAAAACCCGGAAAAGCTGTTTGACTACGCGATATTCCTATTTCCCAGCCATTTTCGTGCTTCACAATGTAGTATAAAAATTATCGGTTATTTCCCCGTAGTTTCGGCCAATTCCGCCCAGGGAGCTCCGAGAAAGTTTACGCAACTTTAACGGTCATTTAAACCCAAAAAGAAACTTTTTAAACCTTCAAAACTATGCAGTTCTACGAATTCGATCATGCTCTTTCACATTGCGTCGAAAAAAAAACGGGGGAAAATCGAAAAATAATAGTGAGGAAAAATCTAACATAATTTTAATTTCGAAATTTTTCGGCAAAAATCGGTATTTCTCTACTGGTTTAATTACCGTAATACTATGACCTTGTTTCAGAACAACCACTCGATGGGCCCGCCACTGATTTGCGGTCGACCGCCGGGCCCCGAAATGCTGACAAGTTGGTTTGGCCGCTATTATCGTTGATCTTCTTCTCCCTGTTGCTTTCCACATTTTTTCACCTTGTTATTGCGCTAATAAAATCATATTTGTCGTGTGCGTGTTGTCCTGTCTCGGCCAGTATACCGTTCTTTTCCGTGTGTTTATCTGGGAGTGTGTCTGGAGGTTCTTGACTGTTAGCGGGGGGGGACTGGAAATACCGTCTCTTTGTCCTACCTACCTACCTAGCAAATTTTGCTTTTATAAGTCATTAGTAGTTTTTGATGACCAAAAATCGTTGAAGATTTGAAATTTTTGCCCGTTGTCGCGTTTTTTTAACCAAACTTCGTTTTTCTATACTCGAAAACGGCTATTTACGAGTGAAAAAGGGTGCCCATTTAATTATTGGGAACCTACCAAGCGATAGACAAAAGTTTGGGTTTAAATTACCCCCCCCGCTAACAGCCCAGCCCCCGTATGAAGACCGGATGTGGCCGTCCGTCGTGAAAATTAGCTTGCTATTCGCCACATTCTTTCGCGCTTTTCTGTCTCTCTCTCTCTCTCTCTCTCTCTCTCTCTTCTCTCTCTCTCTCTCTCTCTCTCTCTCTCTCTCTCTCTGGCTTTTCCACACCCAGAACTAAACCCATTTTCCAGGAAACGACGCGATGGTGCTGGCCGAGAAGATTCGTGACTCGCCTACATTTACGAACCTCGACCACACGTTGCTGCGACGAACCACAAAATTCCAAAAGGTCCGAGCCGTTTTTTGCTGTTCTGATGCCTTTGTTTAGGCGTTCTGCAAGCCGTGCGCCGTCACGAAGCTCGAAAACCCGGCCGCCATCCTCACGCACGTGATGGGCATCAGCCATATTGATAAGGTACGACTTTTAGCTCGATTCCTGGAATAGGGACCGCGTTTCCGATGGTACAAAAACCCGGGTTTGTGCCACATTTTCTGAGTAACTCTGCGCGTCCTTTCCAAAAAAGAGCATAGGGTGGTCGTCCAAAAATAGACACCGTTTTTCTAACCAAAAATGGTTTTTCTGATGAATTTAAAAATTTGACAAAAACAAAAAGATTTTAGGCTTGTTTTTAAGCTGTTTTATTTTTACTATTTAAACGTAACAACTTCCCCAGATTCCATTAAAGATATACCAAAAATACCGCTTTTCGACCGAAATTTCAAAAAATTCGTTAGCGATTTTTATAAATTGGTTTTTTTATGTTTTTCCACTTGAAATATTGTTAATTAGGCTAAAAACCCTTTTTGCAGATCTACGAGCGACGGCAGGGCTTCACCTCCAATGACTTCGACTACTGGCTGCAGGTCGTGCTGAACTCGCAGGCGAACGACGACGGGCCCGCGAAGTCGTCATCCAATTCACACGCCTCCACCGGTTTCGATTGCTGAGGTCGTCGCCCGCAGCTGCCCGATGACCTTTTTTGTAGTTTAGGACTAACCCTGTAATTTAGTGCCGATCCGGGGCCCTCGTTAGCACCCCCCCGGGAATGAATTGCGCGCTGTGATTGGTGCTAGACTGTTAGCGGGGGAGGGGGGGTTAGCCCATGCCCGCCTAGAAAAATTGTGATCTCGTATAGCACATTTTTAACTGTTCTTGGTAGTTTTTATGTGAGATTTTGGCCATTTTCATCATTGTTGACAGAAATTCCAAGCTTTTCGAGAATTTGATTACGTTTTGCTGACGTTCTAACAAGGAGACATTTTTTAGCGATAATCTAGCTTCCGCACGGGACAAAGCCTATATTGTACAGAATTTTCCGCTGATTCCGAATCGAATTCTGCCGCGACAGTCTGCGAAACGATCAGATTCAAAAAATTGTGAAGCATTTCAGGGAGAAAGGGGGCAAAAATTCTCTTTCCCGAAATTGGGGCATTTTCTCCTTTTTCGCACTTGAAAAAACCTTCATAACTTTTTTGATAGGATCGTTTTGCAGGTTTCAAGAACGGGAATGAAATCAGCACAAAATTCTGCACAGGATAGACTAGGTGTCGCACGAAAACCCGATCGTCAGTAAAAAAAACGTTTCATTGTAGGCTAAAAATGGCGTACAATAAAAGTATAAAGATCGCGTTCATTCGATTGTGGGAACCCTACGAAGCTAGGTTTTCTCACCCCCCCCCCTTTTGACAGTCCAGTACCTGATGCTCTCTAATCTATTATTTTCTCTGCTAGCCTTGGCTGCTAAACTCCATCCTCTCTCACGATTCCCTCATTGCGGGTTCGAATCCTTTGCCTGCCCGGTCATCTCGTTCGGCTTTGAAATCGTTTCTACTTTCTCGCCAACCATTTTAGATCATTTTTTACCAGCGAGCGCCTGGCCCCGGCAAATCCCTCTCGTCTTTTCGCATTCAATTATATATATCGGGTAAACTCCCCTTGTGTCCTCCTCAAAACTATGTTGTTACTTTGATTCCCCTCTCAATGCCCTCCCCGTCTCCACCCTCATTCCGGTCTTTTGTGTTGCCGATTTTTACGTCTCCCGAACGCTGTGTCAGATATTAATATTATTATTATTACATGCCGGTAATAAATGATGAATCGCAGCCCTTGTAGCGAAAAGGCGGTTTGAGTTGGTTCGTTGCCAATATGTTTCTTTTCTTTTTTTTGACGGAAACTACAGGGCGTATCAAAAAAGGCCCCCATCGTTCGAGCGGTCCGGAGGTTTATCCTATGCCGTGTTTGCTCTAATATACCCCCTGCCCAAATTTTTTCCAAAGTTTTAGTTTAGAAGCAAAAAACACGAAAACGTTGCGTTTGAAGCGTTTTATTGTGCTCCTGAGTGATTGTGAATAGTTTGAACTGCTAAAAATCGTTATAATTGCTCAAAATAACGAAAAAATGTAAGCCTCCCGCTACTACAACCCCAGGGGTTATATTAGAGGAAATACGGTATTTATATATTTTTAACGTTTAGGTATTTATCGAAAGATCTCGACGAGGCGAGCAAGATGTTCGCTCCGATTTTCGAAGACCCGAAATTCTGAACCCAATTCGGGCATCCGCAAAAGTTTCGCGCGTTTGCCACGCAAAGTATCAGAATTTCGACAGTCGAAGAGAACTGGTCTGCGCGCCTCGTCGAAGGGTTTCGGTTGATACCCAGAGCGTAAAAATGTGTCGCTCCTGCTGATCGGAGATCCCGGCGCTCGCATAATTGTTGTAGATAAACGGAGACCATGACAGTGGCGCAAACGACTTTTCGAGCGACTAAATTAGAACGAGCAACAACTTTTCTGAGGCCCAACCTTCGTTTCTAAAGAATTGCTCAAACGTCGTTTGCTCCACTGTCATGGTCCCGAAGAACCGGCTAACTTCGCTCGACCTGCGTTACGTTTTATCTGTCCAAGCAATGCCATTTCTTTTAATTTATACATATTTTCACTTCTTAAATTATCAAAACCTGATTTTAAATTTATTTTCAGGGTATGCATGGCTAATACGTGCGAGACATTCACCACAACCTTCGAATCGACAACGCCCTCTTCCGACCCGAGCCCCGACGATCATCAACTGTCCGTGATCGAATCGCCCAAAGTCTACAGCAAAGCCGTCAAGCCGAAGGATCTTATTGAAAAGGTATCGATTGTTGCGCATTACTGCACTTACCGAAACCCTACTGTTTAGAAAAGTACCGTTATTTTCCAAATCGTTGCCCCTATAAATCCGGAATTGTCTAGTAACGTAATAATAAGAGTTTTAATAGCGTTTTAGACAATTTAGCGATATTTGAAGTGAAATCCATTACGAAAAAACTTAGAAAATGTTTTTTAGGCGAAAATCGGGCAGTTTTGGATCGAGAAAGCGATATTTTTAGATTTTTCTGAAGAATTTGTCAATTTTTGCGTTTAGAAATAGTCAAAAAAACCGTTTAGAAACTTTTCTATTCAAAAAATTGGATCCTTAGAAAAACTAAATTGATTCCCCCCGATAGTGCTAAAGGGCCGAATTTGAAAATGGGAATACGCTGAGCGCTTGGTCAGCCGCGCTGTATCAACCTTTTTGCAGGTGATCCTCTCGGCGAGCATCGAGGACAATATTGCATTGGGGAAACAGAAGCAAGAAGGCGAGCAGCACGAGGCGCGGCTCGAGTCGATTTTGAAGACGTTGGACGAGTTGAAGGAAGACGATTGGCGTCACAACACTAAGGTATACCCAGTTTTTTCATGTTAATAGCGCATGAATTTCAGCGTTGTTTCTAGCTGTTTTGAGCATAAAAACTTTATAAATGTTAGTAAATATGTAATTTAGCTCAAAACATGGATTTTTCGACCGAAAATGACAAAAATTTCGAATTTTTCGAAAGTTTTTAACTTTTTAAAGATTAAAAATCTTGAGGTGACAAAGTCGTAGTCCGAAAATTATTCTTCTTTCGAATTTTCCAAAATTTAAGCTTTTTAGGACCCGCTCGCGCTCGATCTATCGAAATGAAGTCGGCGTTCGTGACGGTCGGCACCACGCGCTTTGATGAATTGGTGAATCGGGTTGTTGATGAGCAAGTTCTGGCCACTTTCAAGGTAACTTTCTGACGAATAAGTCAATTCCCCGTGTTTTAGAAACTCGACATCGGCAAGATCGTCATGCAAATCGGGCGCAGCGAATGGGACCCGGTCGCCCAAGCCCATTTTGGCCATTGCAAAGACGAGCCCGTCGTTCTGGAACTCCATGGCGTCGAGGTGTCCGTCTTCCGATTTCGCCGGGATATTCAAGAATGTATTAAGGTAAGGATGTTTGGAGGTCCGGGATAAGCTCTGCTTTTTTTCAGGCCTCCGACGTGGTGATCGGACATGCCGGAGCGGGGACGGCGCTCGAGGTGCTGCGCGCCGGCAAGCCGCTGATCGCCGTCGTCAACGGGAAGCTCATGGACAATCATCAAAACGGTTCGTTTAAGCTTTTGGGTATCGTACTTGGTTAAAAAAATTGCAAATTGTGGCGAAAAAACTACAAAGAATATCGATTTTTCGAGCGAAATGGCCGTTTTTTTCTTTGTCTAGGATCCAGTTTTTCTAACAGAACAGTTTTTGACTATTCCTAGACGCAAAAACGACAAATTTTGAATACAAAATACAAACATTTGGATTTTCGAGCGAAAAGCGTCGCTTTACGAGCAAAAATTCGTCTAAAAAGTTTTGTAGTTTTTTTTTGGTTCGCTTTCCCACTTAAAATATAGTTAAATTTCCCTAAAAATGCTATTAACACACTTTCTATCCCGTTACTAGGCATTTCTGGGCTTGTGGGAAAAAGTTTTTCCTTTTTGTTCGTTAAAAGTTTTTTCAGAGTTGGCGGAGAAGCTGGCCGAGCTGGGGCACATTCTCTACTGTACACCCGACCAACTGCCGGCCACCCTCATCAACCCGAAGCTCTTCTCCCTGGCCGCCTACAATTCGCCGCCGTTCGCCCACATTGCCAAATATCTCGATCGTCGCCTTAATGTTGTGTCATGATTCTTTTTTGTGTATTTCTATTACGTGTACCCTTCCTATTCTAATTGCGTTCTTTTTTGTGTCTGATTCGTTCCGCTTCTCATTTGTATTTGATATGTTATTTATAGAAATACACGCGAACACATAAATTGCGCAGAATAAACGTGTTGTCTGGACGTGTGGCACGGCTTACAGCAGATGTCCCTTGATAAATTCGTTGTATTCGGCATAATCGAATCGACGATCCCCGTCACGATCATAGGTCCGAAGAACACCATCCACCATCGACTCCAGCATGTCGTGGCCCATTTTCGCCGATGGGTTCTCATCTGAAGGTCATCTCATCTGTGATCATGATTGCCAACCGAGATGCCTGGGCGCTTATGCATTATCGGGGGGATCTTCCCCCGTCTAATCTGTAAGCCGTTTTACGCTTTACAAATTTTTATTTAATAGCTTTCAAATACAAAAGAATCGATTTTAGGACCAAAATTTGAGCTTTTCGACTTTTTTTGATAGCTTTTGCAGCAGGAATGTAGTTACATATACTAAAAACCCTGAAAATACATCCGTTACTTTAATAGGCGCTCTAACCTAACCGGGAAGAATGAATAACCCCGGTAACTCTCCTCCGATCATACAAAAGTACCGAGTTATCTCTCTCACTCTCTCTCTCTCTCTGCCTCTCTCTTTTCTCTCTCTCTCTCTCTCTCTCTCTCTCTCTCTCTCTCTCCCTCTCCCTCTCTCTACCTCCATGCTCATCATGATGATGCGTGGCGATCTTCGAGATTTCGAGTCCGTCGACAAACTGGATAGAATTTTGGCGTTTAGCGTAGAACGAACCGCGTTTTTGTCGGTGTCGAACATCTGAAAGGAGAGGAACGTCGCCTGCTCGATGCTCAACGGCTTTCTGTCGAGCTCGATCTTCGATTCCATATGCATGCGGATGTGGCTGAGTGGGGTTTTTTATGAGTTGTAACTTTCTCGCCCGTCCTGCCAAAGATGATCCTCAAATCTTACTTTTGATCAGCGGCAAAGTGGAGATTCTGATGGTCATTCGATGGCGACGTGACGACCATCCCAATCAACGAGCAACCGAGCAGCACCCAGAACATTTTCACGAATGCCAGATTCTTATTACCGGTGCAAAGTGGCGTATTGTATTGCCGATGGTAATTTTGATTTCAACTCTCTCTCCCTTTCTTTTTCGTTAGTGTTTACGGTCTTTTGAGACTGATATTTTGAGGTTTTTAACGCCGATCCGATCAGACACCAATTCGTCGTCAAAAATGATAAAGAAAGTCAGCGTTCAAAAAAAAGCCGTTGACACGCAAATCTGGAACCTAATCAGACCAGAGGGCTAAAGAATTTTTTGCATTTCCGCATGTGATGGATGATGACCTTCCACTTTTCGCGACAACCCTAAAACGAACACTGATGTGCGACGATGCCGTAGGCGCCCAAACTTGAGTCAGATAAAATGTTTATTTCTGGCAAATGGCTATTTAGAAAGAGAGAATGAGGAGACGAAACCAAAAACTCTCTTTCGCACAATGCTTCACGGGGTTCGCCGAGTAGATGTAGTAGTAGATAGACATTCTGGTAGAGGGAAGGGAATCACATTACAAATCAAAGAACAGAGAGAAGGGGGACGGGGGCTGCTGCATGGCTACAAGATTGTATAATACAAATACAGCGAATAACGACGAAAAAGACGAGTCCCTAAAGCCGTACAAATGACCGAGACAACTAGAGGATAGAAAGGGGGGCATGGCGCGTAGTCTATACAAAACGAAGTTGTCGCCCTGAAGTTGTTGAACCAAAATGTCCGGCTGGGTTATTACTGCACTACAAGTGACTGGGAGTAGGACGGGGAGTTGACAAAGATAGGCCTAGCGAAGAGAAGAAATGTTAAAGGTACAACGAGATGATGCTTAGATGGACAGCTCGAACTTGACGTCAACGGAGGCGGCGCGGGCCAGTTGGACAATGTTGGAGAGCTTGACGACCATCTTGGCGGCCTCGTCGAGGTTGTCGCAGGGGAGAATCTTGAGGCCGGAAGTGGCGATCAACGCCTTCGCGTCTTCAACCTTCGTTCCTGAAATCAAAAAGGTATTATACATCGACAGAAACCAAAGAAAATAAAAGTGAAACAAACCTTGGAGACGGACAACGATGGGCAGCTTCAACTTGAGCTCTTCGGCGGCCTTGATGATGCCTTGGGCGATGACGTCGCAACGCATGATGCCGCCGAAGATGTTGACCAGAATCGCGTCCACCTTGTCCTTGTCGGCCGTGATGATCTTGAACGCCTCAGAGACCTGAGAATAGAAAGTGGATTAGAACAAAAGTTGCATTCAAATACCTGCTCTACAGTGGCACCGCCTCCGACGTCGAGGAAGTTGGCCGGCTCGCCGCCGTGCAGCTTGATGATGTCCATCGTGGCCATGGCAAGACCGGCGCCGTTAACTGAAATTGAAAAATTAGCATAAAACATAGCAGAGATATTAGAAAACGAAAAACAGTACCCACCCATGCAGCCAATGTTTCCGTCAAGGTTGATGTAGTTCAGGTTGGCGCGAGCGGCACGGGCTTCCAATGGGTTGACGAGCGCCTCGTCTTGCAGATCGTAGAGGGCCTTCTGGCGGTATTCGGCATTGTCGTCGACGAGGAACTAAAATAGACGAATGAATAGCCGAAAACAAGAATAACCTTGCAGTCCATGCAGAACACCTCTCCGTTCAGATCTTCGGCCATCGGGTTGATCTCGAGCAGCGTGCAGTCCGACTTCATGAACACCTGAAAGGAAAAGAGATAAGGAAGATGCGCTGAAAAACCTTGTACAGGTCGGTGATGAGGTTGGCGGCCTGCTTCGCGCTCTCGCCGGTGAAGCTCATCTTCTGCGCGCATTCCATCGCGATCTCGGGCGTGATTCCGGTCTACATTGACCACCAATCATCATCTTTCTTAAAAAAACGATACCCTAGCATCAACGGGGATCTTGACGATTGCGTAGGGGTCCGTCTTGGCGACTTCCTCAATGTTCATTCCACCCTTCGAGGATCCGATCAGCATCGGGCCCTAAACAGAAAGTTTTCAATATTAAAACATTCAACAAACACTGGCGCTCCTGTCGAGGGCAATGGAGAAGTAGTACTCGCGCCGGGGGTACATCCGCTTCACCACCATCACCTCCTTGCACAACTGCCCGGCGGCGCCCGTCTGCAGCGTGACGAGCTCGGAGTTGATCATCTGGCTGGCCTTGCTCTCGGCTTCTTCGGGTCTGGAAAAGAAAAAAAGTTGAAAAACCGGAAAACAAAACTCACGAGAAAACGATGTGCACACCGCCCTGAAGACCCGATTTGAACGTGCCCTTGCCACGACCGCCGGCCAGGACCTGAGGAAGAAAAATATTTGCACAATTGATAAAACGATACCTGAGCCTTAACGACGTAGTCCGAGCCGCCAATCTTTTGGCACGCGCTGCGCACTTCGTTTGCGTTCCTCACAACGGCGAAATCGGGTACCTAGAGAACAACAGTGATGATTGGACGAAAACACTACCTTCACGTTGTTCTGCTTCAAAACGGTCATCCCCTGGTGCTCCTGCAGCATCAACGAACGAATCTAACAAAAAACTTTTCAGGGAATAGGTTAAAATTGATACCGAAGCTGCCAGGACCCGCGACGAGGAGCCCAAGAACTGAGTATTTGCCCGGGACAGCATATCTGCAAAGAAAAATGCCATTGGGAATGGTGAGTAAAAACAATTAAGAAAACAGAAGTTAAGCATCAAGTGGACTGATCATCAGAACAAAACGCCGCTAAGAAAGCTTACTGGACAAGGCTGAAAATTGCATCTCGTCAAATCAGTCGGGGGGAAAGTTTGGAACGAGTTTCAAAATGAATTAAACTTCAGCAAGCCGGCGGAAAAACGTTTATGCAGGGAGAGGTTTGATTCTAATCAAAAACTCGCGTATGATTTGGAAAAGATTTGACGCTAAATGATTGTCAAAACGTAAAAGATAAATTTTCGGAGTGTGCAATAAAGCGAAACGCATAAACAATGCTAAAAATTAATTTTCAAGCTAGCGAGATGGGGGTTTGTTGCACGAAATCGATCAATATCCGGTCTGGTGTTGGTGAAAAGAGGGCTGCTCGGCACCGCCCTTATCCAAAGGACGGCCGTATGCGAGGAGAGGGGAGACTGGCCTCCGAAAAGACTGCCCATGACCCTCACACTTTGTGTGTGCTTCTGACCCTAACTACCGGAAAACGGCTGGCACAATATGCGAAAAATAGACGGAAAACTCAAAAGAAGAAAAAAAAAGAGAAAATTTGCGGGAATTCGAGAAGCCGTTAAAACTCCGAGCGACAACAAACCGTCATTTGTTGTTGTCCGTTTCATTCCAAACAATGTAATTCGTCATTGTGTATCTGCCCGGACGGTTCGACGATACTCAAGAACGAAAAATTTATTTTCAACCTCAACAAAAAAACTTCAAATTTATTCGGATTATTCGTGAAATTTTAGCCCGCAATTAGCGAAAAATTCCGAAAAAAAACGCTGACAACAGAGAAATCTTTATTCACAAACACAACACCCAATAACCCTAAAAATCCAGACAATATATCTATTCTAATCGGGGAAAAGAAATCAAAGCAAAAGATTTTAATCGTCGCCGTCCGATTGCGTCTCCACCGGCACCTTGTAGTAGCGGAGGTTGACCAGGTAGAATGGCCCCGGCGCCTTGTGCGTGACGTATTTCAGGAACGAGTAGACTTCGGGGTCCTTCAGCGCCAGGGCCGCCGAGTTCATCTTCGGGGTGATGTGAATTAACTAAACAAAATATTTTTTTTTTCTGAGCGCGCTTTTCTGACCTCCTCTTCCTCATTCTTGGCCACATACGAAATCGAGCCTCCCACTTTGGTCGGGTAGTCCTCGCGGCCCAGGAAAAGCTGAAAAAAACTCGTAAATTTCACTATAGAAAAGCCCACATTAATGTCGAGCACGTGCCCATCACGTTCAGCCTGTTCAGCATCCTCATCGCCGGCCACGCTGTAGCACCCCTTTTCGATTCTCGAGATTTGTAGGGACATTTGGCTATCTAAAAACGAATTTCCGAAAAGAGCCTGCTTGTTACCCGACAGCGAGCAACTCGTCAGCTTCTCAAATAATTTGGCAGCTTCTTTCGATTTTAGCCAAGTAACCAGCTTCCCGAGGCTGCCGCCGACGTCGCAGTGGTCGGGTAATCGGAAAACATGCCTAAAATCAGACATAAAGCTTTTGAAAACTGGCTCACCTTTTATTCGGCGGCCCGACCTGCTCGAAGTCGATCTGATCGAGAAGCTTGAGTAGTTTACTGTATCGCGAAGTCTAAAACGTTCATCGGTATAAATAGCGGAAGTGTTTCCCAAATTTTTGAAATTTTTTGGATATAAATAGAAAGAAGGATTTTAGATATTTTTTCACTATTCCTAAACGTAAAAACTTCACAATTTTTTATTAAAAAATACAAAAAATATAGATTTTCCACCAAAAATGGCCGTTTTTTGAACAAAATTCCGACTTTTCGAAGTTTAAAATATTTTTTGAATAAAAATGAAGCTTAATTGTAGTAGAAACATCAATAAGATACTATTTAGTAAGTGATGAAGCATTTATAAATAAATACAGCCCCCCGATAATGCAAAAGAACTGGCTCATCAATTGAAAAAGAAGATAATTACCTCGAAAAAGTCGGGCAACAACACTTCGCTATTCTCGGCGAACAGTTTGTACACCTGGACTTGCTTGTGGAAGTCCAAATATTGCGGCGCCACCATCTTATTCGTCGTAATCTTCTAAAAAAGGGATAGAAACTGATATTCCAAGCGCACCCCGGCATCGATCGGCATCGACTTGGGGATCTTCTCGGGCTTTGGCACAATTTCCGGCAAGCGCCGCTTCGAATGGAACCACCCGTTGATGGAGAGCCTAAAAAGAATTAATTCCAGTAGCTTTTCGTTTCGAACCTCGGCTTCTCGGCTTGGCAAATCTCCTGCACTTGGTGCCACGACTTCTCCGTCACTTCAAACAGCAAAAACGAATTGCGGAATGGCCGCAGTTGCTTGGCCACTTCGGACGGTGTCGATTTGTCTAAAAAAAAGGTAAATTTTGGTTCTTTCGCAATATCGGGTGGGGGCTAACTTTCTTTTTCCTAGCATCTAATTTTTCAGATATAAATAATGGAAACGTTTAGAACCGTTTTTACTATTCCTAAATCTGAAAACTATACAAAATTTTGTTAAAAAATGTAAGAAACATCGATTTTTTTTTAACTAAAATGACCGTTTTTTCCAAAATCTCGACTTTTTACACTTTTAGAAAGTTTTTCTCGTCGAAAAACAGTTTTATTTTACTAAAAACGCTATCAAAATACTTCTTATTAAGTTACTAGCCATTTCAAGACGCATAGAAAGAGATCCCCCCCCCCCCGATAACGCGAAAGAACCTAAATTTTCTATCACAGGACTCACAATCGGCATCATAAAGCTGCAACAGACCACCGTCCGACTTTTTCCAGTTTGCCTCGGTGAGATAGTAGACAAAGGCGAAGCGTCGAGTACTAGAAAAATTTTTTTCTTAGTTTTCAAGCAATGCCCACTCAATCTGATCGTTGTGCGGCAAGAGATTATCCGTTTCCGCGTAGCAACTTCCCGTAATGTCGATCTAAAAAAATTTTCTAGACGTTAAAAATTAGATACCTGGTCAGTTAGCGGGACTTCGGCCATGGTTTGAAGCCACGGCTTGACGACTTGTTGCAGGAATTGTCTAAAAAATATGCCGAAAATCCGGGCAAAATACCGAAACGAGAACATGTTGGGTTGCGACGTGGAGGGGATGTTCTTGAAATCGGTCGTCTGGTAGAGGGAGTAGAGATCATTTTCCTTGCGATGCCAATTCTCGTACGTCTGCAGCTCTTCCTCGAGCTAAAAGGGGCATCAAAAATCCAGACATCCGCTTACTCTTTCCACAAAATTCTCCGAATTGTCGACGAAATTGCGCAGCGAGATGTGGGCAAAGGGGCGAGCCGCTAAACGGGTTGTAAATGGCTGGATCAAGGGGTTTTTCGCATTATCGGAGGCAGACCATGTGTTTTTTCCGTCTAGAAATGCCTAATTCAAGAAGTAGTTAATCCTGTTTTTAGCAAAATAAAACTATATTTAAACTAGACAGACTTTCACACTTTTTCAAAAAGTCGAAATTTGTGTCAAAAAATCCCTATATTTTTGTATTTGTTAGTGAAATTTGTCAAATTTTGCGTTTAGGAATAGTAAGAATTAATGTAGAAACCTTCTCGCTTATATTTGAAAAATTGGATCCTAGGAAAGAAATGTTCTGCTCACCCTTGTGCTAAAAAAATTATGAAAATATCTCCTATGAATTTACCAGGCATTTCTAGATTAATCCAAAAAAATCCCTCCCCTCACCCGATAAAGCAAAAGAACCAACCATAAAATTTGTCCCGAAAGGCCCGCTCGAACTGTTTTGTCAGGTGTTCCGGGGAGATGGAGACATTTTGGAGCTCGACGCATCGTTTGGCCGGCGTTTCGGCTGTCTGTCCGTCAGCTTTTTGGGCGGCCTTCTTTCGCTTCATCTGGAAAAAGCGGTCATGTATCCAAAATTTCAGGAAAAATTTGAAAAGGCGAAAAATTCGAAGGGGAAAAGCGGAAATTCTCGGACCCGGGGTATGAATTCCAAGGCGATACTAACGACGTTCGTATGCGGTGTTTTTAGCGTTTCTTGGGTTTTCATGGCCGTGCCCTCGCACGTTGGCCATCAAAAACGATTCCGGGCTTTTTTAAAACATAAAATAAGCTCCAAGGCAACGTTATAACAATATTTTTCAGGGAGATGAGCACCGTCGGCTTCATCGGACTCGGCTGCATGGGCGCCCACATGGCGCGCAACCTGATGCGCCAGGGGCACAAGTTGGTCGTCTGCGACGTGAACACCAAGGTGAGTGCCTTAGTTATTTTTGTGAACGGAACTGTCAAAAAGCCATAAAAAAGTCGACATCTTGGTCAAAAAGGCAATTTTCGTTCGAAAAATAGCTTTTTTTTTGTGTGTTTTTTTCAATGATTTTTAAGGTTCTGCGTTTGGGAATAGTAAAAACCGTTTAGAAACGCTTCCGTAATTGAGATTTAAACATTGGTTCCTAAAAAAGAAATATTTTCTTCCCCGATTCAGGTGCTTGACGAATTCCGCGCCGAGGGGGCCGACGTCGTCAAGTTTCCGGCCGATGTCGCCGCGGCGGCGAAGGATATCGTGACGATGCTCCCATCTAGCCCGCATGTTCGACAGGTAATTTCTTGGATCATGCCCCGAGAAGTTGTTTTTAGGTTTATGGCGGCGACGGTGGTCTCCTGGAAAAGATGCAGCCCGACACGCTGTGCATGGACAGCAGCACCATTGATCAGGTAATTTTTTTGCATGGCAGACTTGTGCTTTCTTTAAAAGGGTCGTTTTAGGTGTTTTTTTGTAGTTTTGCGAGGTCACATGGCTGATTCGATAATGCTTAAAATTCTGAGCATGTCTGATATTTCAAAAAAAAAAGAGTTGACGACTACGGTCTTGGAGAAAATTTACTTTGAACCAGGCGATTTTGCCGTATTTTACCAAGATGCAACCTTTGGGGAAACTCCTTCTCTGTGGCATTGCTCAGCCTTTTTGAGAAGGAGACTTGTTCAGAATTTCAGGCGCTATCGAATGAGCTATGTCACATCGAAACCTCCCCCCCCCCAAAAGCACCTAAAAACTACGCCTTTTAAACTTTATTTCTAGTTTTAATGTACTTTAGATTGCCTCCCTGGAAATGTCGCTGGCTCTCCGGCAAAAGCGCTCGACTTACGTCGATGCCCCAGTGAGCGGCGGAGTCGTCGGAGCCCAGAATGCCACCCTCACCTTCATGGTATTATTTGAATTGCCGGGCGCATAAAACCTACTGTTCAGGTCGGCGGAGGCGACGAGAAGCCCGCGTTCGATCGTGCCCACAAATTCTTGAGCAAGATGGGCAAGAATATCGTGAATTGCGGCAAGGTATCTGGGCCCTAAATTCGAGAGTTTCATCCTTTAGGTGGGTAACGGGCAAGCGGCCAAGATCTGCAACAACATGATGCTCGGCATTTCGATGATTGGCGTGTCGGAGACGATGAATTTGGGTTCGAGCCACACTGTGAAATATCAGTTCCATTATTTTTGCAGGGATCCGTATGGGGCTGGACCCGAAGCTGCTCGCCTCGATCCTCAACACCTCATCGGGCCGTTGCTGGGCCTCCGACACGTACAACCCGGTGCCCGGTGTCATTGACGGAATCCCGCCCAGCAAGGGCTACGAGGGCGGATTTGGGAGCTCGTTGATGGCCAAGGATTTGTCGCTGGCCCAGAATGCCGCCACCAGCAATGGGGTACGCTTTGCAGAAATGGGTTCTTTTGCATTATCGGGGGGGAACGCAATTTTTTTATTCTATTTTGCTAACACAAATAGAGGAATTGCTTCTAAGCTGTTTTCTATTCCAAAACGTAAAAAATTTACAAATTTTCATTAAAAGATACAAAGCGTGTAGATTTTTCGACCAAAGAATGTTTGTCGATAATGAGTTCCTTCCAAAACCCGTGGAGTGTGAAGCCATTTTTGTTATTCCATGGGATCGAATGTTGGTCTTGCTACATTTTTGTTGCTAGTTATGAACATGAAAACTCTGAAAATGTCAGGAAAAATGCAAAAAAATCGAGCTTTCGATGAAAAATTGCCAATTTAACGTTAAAAAAACTTTTATTAGACGTGTTTAAATAGCTAAACTTTAGAGCCGCTCCCCACTAAAATAGTTGCGGTTATTTAAGTTCCGGGTTGTCGAAAGCACGAAAAAAAATCTTTCCAGGCGCCAACCCCACTCGGCTCGCTGGCCCATCAAATTTACCGCCTGCTCGCGCAGCACCCCGATCTGTCGGGCAAAGATTTTGGCGTCGTCTACCAATACTTGAAGGAGCAGGACAAGAAATAAGCCGATAGAAAGCTCAAGCTGCCATCTACTCGATTGTTCATCTACTAGGGCTCAGGCCAAATGAATTACGGTTTCCCCCCATTTCCACGCATTCACCAAACCCCGCCCGGTTCTTTTGTGATTTAGGTGCCTTTTCGTTGTGTAGTTTTTTTTTTGAGAGGTCTAGTTTTTTTTCGTGTTTTCCGTTTCTCTATCTTTGTGCATTTACCGAGCTTCAGAAGAATAAACTGTGCCGTTTTTCAGGTAGGAAGAGCCCTTCCCCCGATGCCCGTCCTGTGAATTCTGTGAATACGTGGGCAACGGCGGGACTCAGAAGCCACCTCCTCTTCCCCTCGTTTTCTTCTCATTGAGCCGCAATGCTAAAACTACACGAGAGGTATTGTTTTGGCTCGGTTCTTTTGCATTATCGCGGGAGGGGGCACCGAATTTTTTTCCTAAAAGCCCAGAAACGTCCGGTAACGCACTAGTACGTGTTTTAACAGTGTTTTTCGCAAAAATGAACTATATTTTAAATGGAAAACAATAAAAAAAACCTAGCGCAAAATTTTTTAGTTGACGTTTTGGTCGGGGAAACGGTGATTTTTGATTGCAAAATCGCTGGGCTTTTAGTATATTTTATGAATATTTGCAAAGTTTTCTGCGATTAGGAATAGTAAAAAAAAACGGTTTAAAAGTAGTTTCTCTTTTATATTTTAGAAAATTTGGATCCTTAGAAAAAATTGTTTCCCCTCCCGCAAAACGCGAACTCGTGTTACAAAAGTTGGTTTGGACGGAATAATGGAATTGGTTAACCAGACGCAGCTCATTCGAGGAGGCTTCAAAGTTTGGAAAAGTTGGCTGTCAAAAACCGCTGAATGAAGATATATTTAGGGAGGAAATGGCCTTCAAAGTTTGTATTTTGTGAAGCGGGGGACGAAAAAGGGTGCAAAAATGGTCTTTCGTGCCTGTTTTTTTGTATATTGTAATCGTTCGGCGATTTTCGAGGGATGGAAATTGTTCAGAATTAGAAGCCCCACCCAACGAGCTATCTCTAGTTACCAAATTACATTTTTACTTAAAACGACGCGTTATTGAGTGGCTTTTAAATGAATTTAGGGACTTTTCAAACGTGTTCTTACAGGTATGTCGTCCTATTCGGGCTGGCCTTCATGGGCTTCGTCTGCTACTCGACGTGGATGTTTTTGCCGAACGATGATCAATTGTTAAAGTATGATCTGTTACAACTTTTTGGTACCGTTTTTTCTAGGGTAGCCGTCGGCCCCCAATTCGAGCACCACGACCACGAGGGCGGCGACCACGAGCATATTCATGTTCGCGAGCTAGCGGTTTGCGAATTTTTTGCATCTGGAAATATTCATTACAGGCCCGACAACAAGCCCAGCGTGAACGGGACCAATCGCTGATTCGAGCACGCGCCGAGCACGATGTACAGGTAACTTTTTTTGGTTCTTTCGCGTTATCGGGGGAGGGGGGAGACAACGTTTTCTATTAATCCGGAAATTCCTAGTAACTTAACAGGAGGTATTTTCATGATGTTGTAGTAGAATAAAGCTGTCTAAAAACTGCGAAAATTTTTGAAAATTCCTAATTTTCGTCAAAAACGGCGATTTTTGGACGAAAAATCAATATTTTTGTATTTTTTTCATGAAGATTTGTAAAGTTTTTGCGTTTAGAAACACTGTAGCTATCTATATTTAAAATTTAATTCAGAAAAAAATTTTCTGCCCTTCCCCCCGATAATGCCAAAGTGCCTTTTTTACATGGAATTCCAAGCAAATTTTATTTTACAGATGCCGCCACCAATTCCGAAGCCCGAGATCGGCGGCTCCGACGATGCCGAGGCCCGGAGAATCACCGTCAAGCAGGTGTGCTCCATTTGTTCGGTCAATAAAGTCGTTTAGATGACGAAATTCGCGTGGGACGGCTACAAGCAGTACGCCTGGGGCTCAAACGAGCTGAAGCCGATCTCACAGAAGGGCCACTCTGCCTCGATATTCGGACAGGGCAATATGGGCGCGACGATCATCGATGCGCTGGATACGCTGTGGATTATGGGTTGGTTTTCTCTCAAATCCGCGTTTTCTGATTTCAAACTTTCCGGAAGTTTCCATTGATTCTTGGAACGCTAATTTTTATGCGGGCCGTTAGTGAAATTGGGACTAAACGTTGCTGCTTAGAATGCAGATTTTAAATTAAAACGGAGGGCCCGTTTTGAAGCTATTTTTTAACTATTCGAAAACTTGAAAATTTGCAGATTTTTTAGTGGTTGAGTTTAAAAATACATAAAAATCGTTTTTTCGGTCAAAAATTTTGAAATCCTAATTTTTTTAGGTTTTTTAAATATTTTTCACCCTCAAATATGGCAGAATAGAATATACCAAATTTCAGGCCTCAAAGAAGAATACGAGGACGGCAAAAAGTGGATCGAAATGAACCTCGATTTCAAGGCACACTCGGTAAGCTGGTTTTTCCAGCGTTTATTTCCTCTTTTAGCGAGGCGACATTTCCGTGTTTGAGACGAACATCCGCTTCATCGGTGGCCTCCTCGCTGCCTACGCTCTCACCAGGGAAAAGGTGGCGTTTTGGGCCGTATCTATCATCCTGGAATTTTAGATGTACGTCGAAAAAGCGGAAGCTATCGCGGATTTGTTGTTGCCGGCCTTTAACACGCCTACCGGGATCCCGTTGGCGCTCATTAATGTTATCACCGGTATGCTTTATTAGTTTTTTTTTTGCTAAAAACATCAGTTTCAGGAAAAGCCAAGAACTACGGCTGGGCTTCCGGCGGGGCCAGTATCCTCTCGGAATTCGGCAGTCTCGAGCTCGAGTTCGACTACCTGGCAAATCTCACCGGCAAGGAGGTTTACCGGCAAAAGGTATTTTCTATTATAATAATTTTGGTACTGGTCTCTTAGCGGGGGGAACGAACCGACCATACTACTCTATGACGAAATAGAAATAATTTTTAATCGTCAAGCATTTTATCCAGTTTTTAGATATCAAAATTTCATAAAAATATAAAAATCTAGGGGAATTTTTATGTTTTAGTAACAAAATTGTATGAAAAATCGCAACTGTCAAATTTTCGGGTTTTCAAACGTGCAAAAAAAAACTTTTTATAACTTTCTAGTAGTGAAAAACTACTGAAGGCGCTAAAAATAAATTATATGGAATCAACAATCGACGGGAAACAACTAAAATTAGCCCCCCCCGCTAACAGTCCAGTACCGAAATTTCGATAATTTTAGGTGCACAAAATCCGCGATTTCCTGACGGAGATTGAGAAGCCCGACGGCCTCTACCCGATCTACCTGAATCCAAATACGGGCAAATGGGGACAGAGTGAGCTTCGAATTTTGTTTGCATTTTTATGGCTGTTTTTAGAAGAATATTCGATGGGCGCGATGGCCGACAGTTTCTACGAGTATCTCCTCAAGCAGTATTTGGTGACTGGGAAAACGGTACGAGCTGAAATGAGGAAAATTTATCGATAAACTTTTTTTAGGATTCGCGCACGAAGAAAGAGTACAACGCGGCCGTCGAGGCGATGGAGAAGAAGATGCTGTTCAAGAGCAGCCCCAGCGGATTTAAGTGAGTTTTCTCCATTTCTGAAGTTCTAAAATTTATTCCGTACCATTTTTCGGAAATTTTCTGAAAACTAAATTTTGTTTTGAGTTGTTTTTGAATACTAGAAAGCTAGAAAATCCTTTAATTAGGCTTGAGAATTCGAAAATTTGATTTTTTTTTGGCATTTTCCATACATTTTTGGCCAAAAGTCGAAAACCTATATTTTGTTTCTCGCATTTTTGGATCTAAAAACTATATAAAACGCAATAAAATCATCTGCCAAGCCGTCTTTAACCCTCGATGTTGCAGATATTTCGCGAACCTGAAGGGCAGCCGCGTCGAGCACAAAATGGAACACCTCGCCTGCTTCTGCGGTGGAATGTTTGCTCTTGATGTAAGGGAATTATGCGCCCTTCGCATTATCGAGGGGTGGATACCGAGATTTTAATAGTGTTTTAGGGCAATTAAATTGAATTGCAATTGGTAAAACGATCAGAAAAACGCTAAATTAATTTTATTCAGGTCGAAAACTCGATAATTTTGGTGTTTTTGAACGAAAATTGGCAAAGTTTTTATGCTTAACATGGTAAAATAGTAATTAAAATTGTTTTAAAGCCATAAAACTAGTATAAAAATTGATTCCTTAGAAAAAGTTGGATTTCCCCTGCTCGATAATGCGAAAGAACCGAATTTTTCGTTTCCCCGAACTTTCTATTTCCAGGCTCATTTCGAGACGAATGTCACCCGGGCCATCCACTATATGGAGCTGGCCAAGGATATCGGCAATACTTGCCATGAGAGCTACGCTAGATCTGGTAACAAAATTTTACACCAATTTTTAACATTTTTTTTAGCTGTCGGCATCGGTCCGGAGGCTTTCCGCTTTACAAATGACGTCGAGGCGAAGGCTGTTTCCTCCCAGGAAAAGTACTACATTCTCCGGCCAGAGGTATGAATTTTTAAGGTACTGGAAATCTTCTGTTTTTAGGTAGTCGAAACGTGGTTCTACCTATGGCGCACGACGAAGGATCAGAAATACCGCGATTGGGCCTGGGACGTCGTCATGGCGTTGGAGAAGCATATGAAGGTGCGGAATATTGATTTGAAAATCGGAATGTCGAAAACTAGGTTTTCTAAATTCTTTTTCGAAGAAAATTGCCGAACTTTCGGTTCTTTCGCATTATCGGGGGGGGGGTCAGTTTTGGCCTTAACCCTAATTTTTCTAATATAAATATCGTAAGTATTTCTAATCTACTTTTACTAGTCTTAGATGTACAAATTTTTTTTACAAAAATTCAATGAATGGAGATTTTTTCAGCACAAAAGATAGATTTTCGACCAAATGCCACTTTTAGAATTTTTTGACGTTGTATAGATAGTTTTTCTTTTGAAATATAGTTAAATTGGGTGAAAAGTATTAAAATATGTACTATTGCGTTGCTGTGGACGTTTCTGGGCTTAAAGGAAAAATTAGCTCCCCCGATAATGCAGAAGAACCGACATTTATATTAGTCAGGTTTCGTTTTGTCGGATTGTGATTTCGATAAACTGAAAATAAGTAAAAAATAACCCCTTACACATCAACAATTTTTTCAGGCAGGCAGCGGCTACTCGGGCGTGCGCGATGTCTACCAGGTGCCCGTACAACACGATGATGTGCAGCAGTCATTCCTATTCGCCGAGCTGTTAAAGTATCTTTTCTTGATCTTTTCCGATGATACGATTCTGCCACTCGATCAATGGGTCTTCAATACCGAGGCCCATCCATTCCCCATTCGGTTGTGAGAGCATTTATTATATTTTGTGTTATTATTAATATTATTATTTGCCTCTTTCTACTGACTGGTAGTCGCTCTCTGTTCAACGCGGTACATATTCCCCCTAACGAAATTCCAGATGAAGCCCCCCAATAGGCAAAACGCTTAAAAATTCCGTTCAGCAACTAACGACAAATTTCAGGATCTTTCGCATTATCGGGGGAGGGGAGCCAATTTTTTTCTATTAGCTTTTCTGGCCTGTTTGACAAATTTAACTGTATTTTAAGTGAAAAACAATAAAAAACCTAAAAAATTATTTTAAATTTTGGGCAAAAAATAGATATTTTTGTGTTTTTTAATGAAAATTTGCAACGTTTTTACATCTTCGAATAGTAAAAAACAGCTTAGAAACACGATTCTATTGCTGTTAGAAAAATTGGACCCCTAGAAAAAAAGTTTATTCCCCCCGATAATGCGATAGTTCCGAATTTCACGGCCGTAAGTTGTTGCACAATGGACTTTTGGCTGATTGCTTGGCCTCGGACTTACTAGTTCTATATTTCTCAGTATTGCTAACCGCTTTTTTCCTCTATTTCTGCTGATATTCATTTTGCGGGTTTTTTCCTCCTAGACTTGCTACGAACCCTGTATACGAGATCCCTGAACAACGATATTTGTGGTAGCTCTTTTCTGGCTGTTTAATGGGAATTTCGGTGCTTCTCTGTTAACGGGGGGAGCTAATTTTTATTTTTATGGCTGCCCCTACCTGTTGGTAATCAACAAACTATATTTACAAATTTTAGAAAACCAATTTTTTTGCCTGTTTTGGCCATTCGAAAAAGTCAAAAAACTTTTTGTAATGTGTTTATCTCTAAAAAGTTTAGTAAAACTGTTTAAAATAGTATAAAAATGGTTTATATTTCGTTATAGGGCCGTAGGGAATTACTGGGAAAAATTGCCCCCCCCGTTAATAGGGAAGCACCGTAATTTCTAGCCCCAAAACTATGCGATTCGATTGGAAAGTGCCACCCCCCTCGGACTGGCTAGGCACCGAGAAATACTTTGATTGTGACTTTTAATACCCTTTCCTTCTGCTCCTGGTCATCTCGGTGATCATCTCCAAAAAAACGTCTTCTCCCCCCAGAATCTGTGCCTTTCTACACCCAGTCCCCCCATTCCAAAGCCAATTCACACAATTCTTCTCGCTATCATATTCGGTTACGCAAATGTATGTATTTTTGGCCCAATCGATTACGCAACATATTGCCCTGGTTGTGTGGGAATAAAATTTATTTTTTTAATCCGATTTTAGAATGTTTTTGGATAATTTGATTTCAGATCTCTTGGGCGGCCGCTCGGCACTCTTTTTTCAGCCGTTCTATCCGTAAATCTTCAAGGATGAGCGCTCGTGGGTTTTCTTCGAGATGGACGGCCCGTCCGTACACGTACTGCTCGCGGAACATTTCTTCCACTGCCGACGAGCATTCGATCTGGAAATCGTGGTTTGTAGGTTGTATTTACAGGATACCCCAAAAAAGTTATCATTTGTGACCCGGAAAAATGCCCGTTTTTAAGACGATTTAGGTAGCTATCTAAAGCACTCGGCGAGGTCCGATTTTTAAACTCCCGAATTTTGCTGGAATTTAATAGGAAACGGGCCCATTGCTGGTGCTTTCCCCGTGAAAAAGTTTCGAAAAAATCCAAATTTGTGTGATTTTTATCATTTTTTTGGAAGTTTAGGAAAGCCATTTGCGAAAACATGGCCCGAGGTAGCGTAGGCTGATTAAATCGAGTTTTTCAAGCAAAAAAATGCAATCTTTGCACGAAAATCGAGGAAGAAAATCGGAAATCTGCAAATCGGTGAGCATCCCGACTCGGTTTTTTTGAGAGCTTGCCATAGATACCTAAATCGCAAAAATCGGACACGTCTACTAGCATGGGGTAAACCCGCGATACCTCGAGCTCATCGTAGGAATACGGCTCGCGGACGAATCCGTTGATGGCGTCGTTTCGCGAGCCAGACCAATGGCCACTGTCCAGCCCGTCTTCTAGGCTGAAATTTATGTTGATTTAAGGGCCCGAAAGGGGCAAACTAGCGGAGATTCTTTGGGAATTTTCGGGCCGATTTTTCGACACAAAAACCTACATTTTCACCGAGCCGCCGATGAACGAATTGCCGGGCGCATGCGCTGGGTCGTAGGCTGAAAAATTTGATCGATTTACGCAAGATCCGGATTTTAGGCATTAATTTCTATAGAGAAATTAAATTATAGCCTCGAAAAAAGCGCAATTTAAATTTTCTATTTTTTCGGGGAATTTTTAGTCATGCTAATCTACCGTACCCGATATCCCAGTCGATTTCCGGATCGATGATCGCCTCTGCTTCCCAGAATATTGACAGAAATAGCCATTCCGTCTGGCTACAAAGTACAGGAAAAGGAAGAGAAACAGGAACACGCCACTGCCGATGCCCATCCAAAACAGGCTGGCAGCTGGGGACGGAGTGGCACCATTCTGATGGTATATTGAGGCACTTGGGGGGCTCTGAAAAATGTATTAATGCTTGGGGAAATCATGGAAAATTCCTAAGGAATCCCTGCTAGTCTGCCCCCTTCATCCCCTCCAATTCCCCAAAGGATCTCTGCTAGCCTGCTCTGAGACTAGATGAAAATGGACGGCTAGGCTACAGGCTACAAATCACAAACCTGAGAATAGTTGGTCCTTAGGCTCCGGACCCGAATCTCGGCGTTACGGTAGGTGGAGGTGCTGGGTAGCAAATACGGCGGTCCAATCACTTCTGCCTAAAAAAGGAGTTTTTCACTCTCGTCTTCTCTCGTTCTCTCTCTCTCTCTCTCTCTCTGTCTATCTCTGTCTCTCTCTGCCTCTCTCTCTGTCTCTCTCACTCGTTCTCTCTGTTTCTCTCTCTCTTTCGCTCTCTCTCTCTCTCTGTCTATCTCTGTCTCTCTCTGCCTCTCTCTCTCTCTCTCTCTTTCTTTCTCTCTCTCTCTCTCACCAATTCGATAAATCCATTCGCGTCGTGTCCATCTCTATCCCTCTGTTCTATCCGATATAATTGTGCCCCATCCGTCCTCTTCCAGCTCATCATCCCATTCACCACGGCTACGGTAGGCGGGGCAACAAGTCGTGAGCATACTGAAAAAATTCAATTTGCAGGGTTTCCGAATAGGGAAAAAATTCCAATGCAGTACCCTAACGGCCCGGCTTCTTTCTAAATTTCGGGTTTTTGCAAGCTGCTAAATGTGATGCTGTGGCTAGCAGTGGCAGTCTAGCAAAGATGTTTTGGGATATGCTTACCATTTTTCTCGCGAATCGTCGAATTTATCGATCCCTCCGCGTTCGTCGATTCCACGGCCAGACGGTAGCCCGCGAATCGGGACAGGCCTGAATTTCAAGCGTAATTGGGTAACCGGTTACGCGATGCAGTTCACGCGCTTTAATTCCTAATTCCTAACCAGTTACGGCAGATAATTCGGCCAGATGACCCAAAAAAACGTACCAGCAATTTGTGCCTGCGTATCCTTCGATCGTACCGTACCCCTCTCGTCCGTCATTTCGACATTTTCGTAGTGGAGGGTGAAACTTTGTGGGAGACCCGCATCGTAGCCTGCAAAACGCGGAATCACGAAAGGTTTTACTTACTCAAAATTAAACCTGGTTAAAATTAATCAATAAATAAAGAAAATTGAATCAAAATAAATACATTTTTATTCGACTTTTATTATTAATTTTTAATATAATTTATGTATTTAAATGAATGCAATTAATGGTTATGGTCGTGATATTAAGCTCCAATTGATATTTGAATACCTGGATTCCACTCGACAACGAGGCCACCCTCTCCCAAACATTCGATTGAAGAAATTGAGGCTGGCTGCGGGATCGTATTCTGAAAACGGGGCATACTAGCAGAGGTTCTTTGTGGAACACGGGCTAGCAGAGACCATTTGGGGACAAACAGGTTAGCAGGGATTTTTTGAGAAAGCCGAAAATCCGCCGGAAATTAACCTTGAGCCAACAAACGAACAAACAAAATTGAAGAAAATCAGTCGGGCAGTGATGCTTGAGGAAAAACGGATAGCAGAGATTCTTTGAGGAATGGGCAGGCTAACAAAGATCTTTGAGGAAATCGGGAGCAGCAGAGATCGAGCCAAAAAGCATGCTAGCAGTGATCATTTGAGAACTCGCGTCGTCGAATTCGACAAAAAATGTGAGCTAGCCGAGGCACTCTTGGGCATGGCAGGCTAGCAGAGAACATTTAGGAATTTTCTCCACCCTACCTGTACATAGATCTTGAGCTCGGCCTTCACCGTCGCCACGGGGTTGGTGAGTACGCAACTGTACGAACCGTGATCGGCCCGGGACACTGACGGAATCGTCAGTTTCGACCCGGAGATACGGCGCTGAAATTTTAGGGGGTAGCTAGCAGAGATTCTTTGGTTTTAAAAAGAACGTCATCGCAGGCAATTGGCGGAATTTTTACTTTGTCACGGAGCCAATACTGCACGGGCATCGGATCGCCAAAACCGAGACATTCCACCTCGATGGCCCCGCCCACTTTGGAATAGATGAGGGGAGGAGGACGAGCGGAGAATCTTGGGGATTCTGGAAGAAATGGGGTTGGTTCTCTCGCTCTCTCTCCCTCTCTCTCTCTCGCTCTCTCTCTCTCTCTCGCTATCTCTCTCTATCTCTCTCTCTGCCTCTCTCTTTTTCTCTATCGCTCTCACTCTCTCAGGCTCATTCTCTCACTCACCCTCTCTCCCGCTTTCTATCTATCTATCTATCTTTCTCTCCCGCTCTCTCTACCTCTCTCTGCATCTATCTCTCTTTCTCTCTCCATCTCCCTCTTTCGCTCTCTCCATCTCTTTCTCTCCCTCCCTCTCTCTCACCTGCAATCACCAAATGCATCTCAAATTGATCGCTTCTCCCGACCATATTTTCCGCGACACACCCATACACACCCGCATCACCCTCCAGCGCATTGGTCAGGCTCAACGCTGCCTAAAAAAATAACTGTCGCCGCTCCTCCTTCTCTGCAACCGTACCCCATCAACCCCTGTGAGTGGCACTCCATTCTTCGTCCACACAATCCTATCCACGGCCGGGGATCCGATCGCTGGGCATCGGAGCTCGACCCTATGCCCTCGGGGGGCTGTATAGAGGCGCTTCGCGGTTTCCGGAATTGTTGGACGGTCTGCAAAAGGAATTTTTCCTCAAAGAATCTCTGCTAGCCTCCCGTCAAATTTCAACCAGGTCTGGGACTCACAGTGTACGTGCAGATACGCATTTGCTGTTGCGGCGCTACCGTATCCGTTTTCGGCCTCGCATGTGTATTGGCCAGCATCGGACGGTCGAACGGGAGAGAGGGACAGCTCGTTTTCCTAGGCAAAAACTGACTAATGACAGAGAGAGAGAGAGAGAGAGAGAGAGAGAGAGAGAGAGAGAACTATCTATCGTAACTCACCATCACCGAACTCCTCAGCCCAACATCAGTCGTTTTTATCGGTTTTCCATTGTATTTCCACGAGTAGGTGATCCTGAAAAATATTTTGAAAATTTTAGCTCGTGATTTTCACAGTGATGGTAAAATAAAGCGAAAAAAGAGTATAGAAAGGAACAATATAGAGTTAAGACTTGCTTATCGGGGTATCCGGTGGCCTGGCACGTCCAAAAGACGTTCGAGCCCTCGTTGACGGTGCGATTCTGGGGGCCAAAATGGATCGAGGTTGGCTCTGGAATTGGGATTGTTTGGGTCTTCTCTCTCTCTCTCTCTCTCTCTCTCTCTCTCACTTACTCGCCATCCTCACAATCACCGTGCGTTGTGCCATTCCCTCAGTATTCAATGCCTGGCAAATATATTCCCCTCCATCCCCTTCCGCTACGCTTCGTATTGACAGGGTGCCATTTGAGCTGACCATGGCGCCATCCTGAAAATGAATTAATTGATGGGGCTGGCTAGCAGAGAATCTTTGAGGAATTGGAGGGGATGGAGGGGCAGGCTAGCAGAGATTCTTTGAGGAATTGGAGGGGATGGAGGGGCAGGCTAGCAGAGATTCTTTGAGGAATTGGAGGGGATGGAGGGGGCAGGCTAGCAGAGATTCTTTGAGGAATTGGAGGGGATGGAGGGGGCAGGCTAGCAGAGATTCTTTGAGGAATTGGAGGGGATGGAGGGGGCAGGCTAGCAGAGATTCTTGGCAGAAATAGCGCCGACCTTGACCCAAGAAATATCCGGTGGCGGGCTTCCGTCGGCCATACAATCCAGATGCAAAGCTGATGAGGGCATATGGTACTGGACGAGACCATTCTCTGGACGGGTGATGCGCGGAGGGGCTGAAAATTCGTGTCACTGCACCTTTAAAAACGATTTTTGCTTTCTCTCACCCTCTGACTCTCTCTCTTTCTCTTTCTCTCTCTCTCTCTTTGCTCTCGCTCGCTCTCTTTCTCTCTCTCTCTCGCTCTCTCTCTCTCTCTGGCTCGCTCTTTGTCTCTCTTTCACCCTCTCTCTCTCCCCCCCTCTCTCTCTCTCTCTCTCTCTCTCTCGCTCACCATTAACAACAACCCGTGTCTGCGGTCCAAATCTTGGACTGGTCGGCGCCCGGCTATGAAACGGTGTCAGTACGCATTGGTACACGCCCTCATCAGCTACCGTAATCCCTTGCACGGTGAGCCCGAGACCAGGAGCACGAGCTAGGCGGCCTGAAAAACTGGATTTTGGAGTTTTTTTTCACGTTTTTACCGTGCAATTCTGGTGCCGCATGACCAGGCTGGTGGCCGAAGACGCTGTAGATCAATTTTCCATCCTTTCTCCATTCGAGAGAGTACTGTAGCCCCTGATCAGGGTCATGCTCCTCTAAGCCACATCCCAGGGTCAGACTCTTCCCTGAGCCCCACCAAATCACCTTCATACTCTTGGCATTTGGGGGCTGGATCTGAAAATTGAGGACTCTGGGGGGCAAGCAAACAGAGATAATTGAGGAATTGAGGGCAGGCTAGCAAAGATGATTGAGGAAATGAAGGATAAGAGATGGTACTGGACTGTTAGCAGGGGGGACGGGCAAATTTTTGCCGGTAACCCCGTACGGCCGATTTAAAAATTTGATAATTTAGAGCAACCAAAAACTTCTAAAAATACCCCCCCCCCGATAACAGTACAGTGCCTCAGAAATCATTTTGAATACGGGTGAGCCAGCAGAGGTTATTCAGGAAATAGGGAGTTAGCGGAGATTGTTGGGGAAACTGCGTAGGATAGTGAAAATCATTTAGGAATCAGGGCAATCTAGCAGAGCCCATTTAGGAACGACAATGCAAGTTGGGCCAGCCGCGCGCCAGGCGGAAACAACGGGCGGGGGGACAGGTGGTTAGCCACCAATAGGAAGAGCTAGAGAGGTCAATCGCTCTCTCTCCCTCTCTCTCTCTCGCTCTCTCGCCAACTTTTGCCCCCAGGGCACCAATGTTTTTACAACGTGGTGTACGTGGTGTGTACCAGTGAATTGTCAGCGCGAGAGGTCGAGAAAGAGAGTTTGGCAGAAGGCCAAGAATTTTCCGCAAAGAACCTCTGCAAGTGGGCCTGGACTCTGAATTCTCGGTCCCGTTAAAAGCAAGAGATAGCGAGAGAGAGACACAGAGAGAGAGAGAGAAAGAGAGAGAGAGAGAGAGAAAGAGAGAGAGACTATTTAGCGATTAGCTCTCGTAAAGCGGCGGCTTAATTTTGGTGCTTCCTAATTGTTTCCAACCCAAGGAATGGGGCATTTTAATGAAGCTCTCTCCCCCTCTCCCTCTCTCTCTCGCTCTCTCTCTCTCTCTCTCTCTCTCTCTCTCGCATTCCCCGGGGGAATCTGGCACCAACCCTGCCACCATTTATCCCCCACCCCATCGCGTGCCAATGTCAATTGCGGGGCCCTATAATTTTTATAGGCGGCGCAAGCAAGCTCATTTTCTGGGTTCCGGATTGTAAAGCGGAAACGCAGGCGGCAAAGAATCTCTGCTAGCCTGCCTGCAATTTTGGAATTTTTGGGCGTTGGGGGCAAAAAGCGCACGTCTAGATATTAGAAAAATTGCCTTTTCAGACTCTTTAAGACAAAATTCCGCATTGATCTCTGCTAGCCTGCCCCGCGCGGGTAAAATCGTGAAAAACAAAAAAAATTCCGTAATGGTCTCTGCTAGTTGCCAACCGAACAGGAAAACGCGCAGCTGCAAAAAGCTTGAAGATGACAAGGTTATTATCTTCACGAAAATCCGCAAAAATCTCTGCTAGCATGCCCAGAAAACTGGCAAAAAATTCAAAAATTGTTAAGGAATGCCATAAAATCCATAGAATAAGTTTTCTGAGCATTGCGAGCGGATATTTTGGGTCGGCCGAGTGATGGTTTGTGCCCCCTGGGGGCATGCGTGAATGGAGTAGCCCCCCCAGCCCTTTAGCCCCCTTCATTGTCCACAAAATAATCGAGTTAGCCCCTTGACCCTATTGAAGAGAGAGAGAGAGAGAGAGAGAGAGAGACAGCCACAGACCGGTCCCTTTAAAACCCCGCGCGGTGTGGCTTATTTAGCCGCCCAACATAAGCTTATTAACCCGCCGAGTAGAATGCGGCCATATGGACGGTGTTTTAAAGGAACCGGCAAGACATCTTCCGCAATGATCTCTGCTAGCTAGCCAGCAGAGATTCTCTGAGACTAAAAAAGGGGACGCGGGCTGGCAGAGGTTCTTCGAGGAATTGGAGGGGATGGACGGGGGCAGGCTAGCAGAGATTCTTTGAGGAATTGGAGGGGATGGACGGGGGCAGGCTAGCAGAGATTCTTTGAGGAATTGGAGGGGATGGACGGGGGCAGGCTAGCAGAGATTCTTTGAGGAATTGGAGGGGATGGACGGGGCAGGCTAGCAGAGATTCTTTGAGGAATTGGAGAGGATGGACGGGGCAGGCTAGCAGAGATTCTTTGAGGAATTGGAGAGGATGGACGGGGGCAGGCTAGCAGAGATTCTAAGGGATTCGGAGCTTGGCTCCATTTTGGGGAATTTCAGGGGGAGGGCCACGTACCCTTAGCAACGTCAGAAACGCATGGCTTCATTTGGGAAGCGAGAGAGAGAGAGAGAGAGAGACTTAAGGGTTTCTAAAGGCTAGTTGAGAGGTGAAATTCGAAGCCATTCCCTCCCCCCATCTGGCCGTATGCCCAATCAACCGCAATACCGGTCTCCTTGGCCTCAAATTTGCATCCGGACGTTTGCATCCAAAAGGCATGGCTCTCGAACTCGGGCGGGCTAGCAGATATCATTTGGGAAGGCGAGCCAGCTGAGATTATTAGGGAAATTGGAATTTCAAGTCCGGAAAGCTAGCAGTGATCATTGGGGATCAGGGATAATTAGCAGCAATTTCGCAGGAAAGCTGGGCGGGCTAGCAGAGGCCATGTGAGGAATTTGCCGTAATCGATTTTGGGGTCAATCGTTTTAGGCAGGCAAGCGGAGACCGCTTAGGATCGAAAACTGAAAGAAATCCGCTGCCGCTACAAAAATCCTATAAACAACCTGGGCCAAAAACTGGCGGCCAAAAAAGCCGGGGCTCGAAGCCGTACAAAAAATGGGCTCCTGGAAATGGAAATATGGGCCCCGGGCCGACACTGGAAAATCGGGTATTTGCGAGGTTTTTAATCACTTTTGGGGGGCGCAATATAGAGGGGCAAAAACCCCCGGCGGGCAGGTGCTTTTTTCAGAATAGAAGTTGGCGCTAAAAATAGAATAAACACAAAATTTGGGTTCGCCATCTCTCTCTCTCGCTCTCTCTCTTTCTCTCTTGCTCTCTGCCTCTCTCTCTCTCCCAAAAAATTCCCTGCTAGCCTGCCCGGCTTCGAAAAGTCCCGCAATCCACATTCGAGGGCAGTCTAGCAGAGATCTTTAGAGCATAAAATCGGGACCAAGGCGAGCTAGCAGAGATCTTTTGGGGAAATACTGATTTCAGGGATGGCAGGCTAGCAGCGGTTCTTTGAAGGTTTTTAGCGCCAGGCAGGCTAGCAGAGTTTTTTGAGCTAAGGAATCGCGGTCCTTGGCGAGCTAGCAAAGGTTCTTTGGGGATCCGTGGTAACGCAAAAATGGCGGAATGCCTGCTGACGGTGAGATGTCCTTGAGAGAAGGGTGTTTTGAGGAAATCAGGGGTGAGAGAGAGCGAGAGAGAGCGAGAGGGAGCGAGAGAGAGAGAGAGAGAGAGAGAGAGAGCGAGAGAGAGTGAGAGAGAGAGAGATGGCTGATGTCCCGTCTAAATTCAATCCAGCTGTGGTCGAGAGGGGCTACTTGAAGCCGGGGCTTAAGGCCCCCAAAAGACAAGGGGGTAACGAGCCGTCACAAATACACACGCTGCCCAACACGAACCCCTACTTTTTGGCCAAGGGCCAAAAAGTTGCCAAAATGGGTGTCATTAACCCTTTAAATAATGGAAACCTGGCAGGCTAGAAGAGGTCATTTGGGAAATCATCTACCTGTCATCATCCTCTGAGAAATTCCCTCGGGCAGCCTAGCAGAGATTATTTGGGAACGCTGAAACTTGTCGGTTTTCTGGCGCCTTTTCACCACGCTCTAAACCCCGCTTTAAACCGGGCAGGCTAGCAGAGATCTTGTTTTGAGTCTTCAAGAATCGTCAGAATAGTAGGCACCGGGCAAGCCAGCAGAGTTCATTTGCTACTTCTCTGGATTTGTCAGGGCGGCAAGCTAGCAGAGATTTTTGAGGAATTCGGCAGGCATTTTGAGGGTGGTCTTAGCCCATCTCGCAGTGATCTTTGAAGATTTTTCTGAATTGCGCTTTAGGCGTGCAAGGATAGATTTTTGGGGAATTCTCGACGGTGGCAGGCTAGCAGAGTTTTTTGGCGAATTTCGCATGCATTTTTTAAGGTTTCTATTAATCAGTGGGCATGCTGGAAGCGATTTTTGAGGGTTGTCCGTTGAATTTCCGACTTGGCGATCCTAGCAGAGGTTCGGGGATTTTTGATGGCGGCCAGCTAGCAGATGTTTTTGCGGAATCCAACATGACGGGCAGCTAGCCGAGAATCTTGTGGAGTTCTTCATTTTTAGGGGTTTCCTGCAGAAATTTTTGGCTCGATTTTCGCCTCGGGGCAAGCTAGCAGAGATTTTTGGGGGGAATTTTGCACCGCGACAGCCGGTTTTCGACGTTTTTTTAGTTTTTAGGGTTTTTAAAAAGCGATTTTCCGAAAGTCGCTTGGTTTCCCCTTTACGGCAAGCTAGCAAAGATTTTTGGGGGAATTTCGTACAGTTTTTTTGGGCGCTACTCTAACCCGAGCGTAATCGCGGGGCCCGCTGATCAAGTGGGCAATCAAGGGGCGAATCGAATGGGATGGTGTTGACACTTTCTGTTTGTCTCTCTCGCTCTCTCACGCTCGCACTCTCTCTCACTCTCTCTCTCTCACTCTCCCGCTCTCTCTCCCCTCCTTTTTTGCCTAGAGGGGTGGAAAGCCTGGGGGCAAACTACCACCGGATTACGCGACTATCCTATTCTCCCCCTCCCCCCACCGCTAATTTCTCTCTTCTTCTGAAGCTGGACAGTACGACAAACGGACGGACAGACAGACAGACAGAAGGAGGAAGGGAAGGGAGGGAGGGGAAGGGACACACATTAGCACCCACCTCACATAGATCCCTTCTGAACACCCTCAGAAGACACTTCTTCCAACACCCCCCGAAACATCTTGGAAACTTCAGGTACGCTTCTAAAGAATTCGGGCGAAAATCCCGACAATACAAAATGCCAGCAGTCAAAACGCCGACAGCCATAATCCCGACAGTCTAAAATCCCGATAGATCAAAATCCCGACCG